TGCAGTTTTTATTTCTTTAAATAACAGCAAATATCAATAAATTAATTCTGGTGAAATTATGCAATTTCACAAAGTACATCTGTTATCTGTGAAAATAGAAATGTTTTGTGTGTACATAAGATACAGGTTTTGTCTGTTTTGTTTGCTTACAAATGCAATGTAGTTTAACAAAATTTTTATTGTAATTTGTCATAACATTTTCTGTAATTTCACAGAAGAGGGAAAAAACTACATTAACTGAAAAGTTTCAGTCACAAAATGTTAAATAACAGATTTTTTTTGTTTGTTTTTTTTACAGCACTTGTACTGTTGCTCTGGAATCATTGGTTCAGCTTTCTGGCCTGTTTCAGTTCTCACTCACCGCTCTCTGCATTGTTTTCAGCTACAGCGGGCAGCGCTTTTCAGTGTAAAAGCTTTAGAAACCAGCCGTACACTGCCGACGGACACAGTAATGGAGACCAAGCAGCGAACACAGTGGAGCATTTAGCAGCTAAAGAGCCAGATAGTTCCCTTAGGAGTTGGTAGGGACCAAAAAAACTGTACTAAAAAACAGAGAACAGGATTTTTATATCAGCTGGATAAAAACACTGCTCCAATGAAAATGCTGCTCTGTAAATAAACTACAGTATGCCAAGGTTGCTTTGATAAATTTGCCATTTTAACCTGATGGGTGCATAGCTTGTTATATAAAAAGGCCTAAAAATTAAACTAATGCAGTAAGAATTACCATAAACACAGGGAAAAACAGCCCTTTTGTGTTTGTTATCTGGTTGCAGATGCAGCTGCAGCTGTAATGATCACAGCCAACATGGAGTCCAGTTGCATCCAATTGTATGTTGTGTAAACCAGCCGGCTCGGTGACAAGAGTGTGTGTTTACCGTTGACTGTATATAAAGAGGTGTTTACCATGTCAGCAGAGAAGCCAGGTGAGCACAGAAAGAGACTGCTGTATGTAAACATGACTTAAATTGGTGTGATCAAGCTTCAAAAAATGGCGATGTCACGGATCTCCCTCAATGAGGTTATGAGCTTTCAGAAAGCTGAGTGTGTTGTAACTCCATATGTTATCAATTCTGAAATCTGATCAGGTTGTATCAGGAGAAAACACAACTTCCTGCCTGCTTGAGTGCTGCGTATGAAGAGCCACTCAACAATGCTGCCGCCACTTAATGATTAATAAGTGGTGCAGTCGGGGGTTTTGGGGAGAAAGGCAGATGTTCCACATATTTTTTAAGCGCTTAAATATTTTAATACATGCTGATGAATTATGGGATAACAAAGTGCTTTTGGTTACTGGTGTTTCTCCGTCAGTCCCTGGGCTCACGAGGGACTGTTTCTGCAGATTCTGAGACATCGATCTCCATCTGAGCAGGTATGTGCAAGAATAAGAGAAGGCAAGGCCACTTCAGATTTGCCACGGAGCCAAAACAGTCAACGAAAGGCCGCAGGCAGTTGCCAGGCAACACTATCCCTATCACAGCAGGAAGTGGAGTCGAACGGAACATTAATCACTTTCAGCTCCATCTCACAAGAGTCACGGCGCTGAAATGCTCTGGTCAGACAGAGGTTTCACACTGTGTCCAGGCACGCTGGTTTCTACCTGCGTTTCCTGGAATTTCACCTTAACATGCGGTGAGACAGAGCTTTTCCAAGAGCGTATGTATACATAATTCATGGAGTCCATCTCGGAGAATTAATATGATATTCGTGCATTTTTGTCTGAGTCTGAGTCCAGCATCTGAGGGGGCGTACAAAGTCTAAACACTGTTCGATTTTACCTGAAAACAAGTTAAACCTGCTTCAAAGGGATTTATCTTGCGCTTGGAGATTTTGTTTGGCAGTGAACGCTCTTAAAGCCGATCTGTTTGTTTCACCTGCCAAAGCACATCTTTTAAAGGCAAATCCAGCTCCACCAGAGTTTCTGCAGTTACACTCTGCCAGGCTTGACTGTCGCACACAAACAGGATTCAGCCGTGTGCCAAGTCAGAAAAAATTTAATTTAATATTTGAAAAACTGGTGAAATCCAGGATACCTTAAAAAAAAACAGTAAGTCACAAAAGGTCTAACATGGGGTAGACTTTTTTTCTGCTATGGACAGTTTGAGCTAATATATATTCACAGCTGTATGTAGATTTTTTTTTTAATGTACAATACATGAATAATAGAAACTAAAGGGCAACCCAAATTCCAGGCTCTGAATTTGATATATCTCTGTCTAATTTCTCAGAAGAGGGTCATGCCCATTCATATATGATTATATAATGAGGTATTAATTCATACAACGTTAGAATTATTCCATGCCCCTCGCTGCTATAATCTTATTAAATGATTTCTGGTGGCATTCTGAGTAGGAGGACATTGGTGTAGCAGCTTATTGGCAATGCACAGGCTCTCACAGCTTTGCCAAAGCTAAGAATCGCTGCAGCAGATCTGTGAATTGAGGAAAACCTACAAAAAAAAAAATCTCAAAAAGCAGCATGTGGGTGGATTCACTTGAGTAAAAAATGACAAGGTTTCCCCGCTCAGTCGGCACTCAGAAACAGACCTAATCAAATACACAAACACACAGTGTGCACAGTCAGTGAGAATAACACGAGCTGTGTGAGGAAATCATTTGTAAAACTGGACACATTGGTGGCCGTTTGCCCTCCTGAAGAGATCATCTGCAAAATAATGACTGTTGCAAAAACTGTCTGTTTTTTTACGGGGCTGATTTTAGAAAATATATAATTTAAGGAGTAGTTTACATCTTAAGCCGCTCAAAGTGGGTGTACAGCTTATAAATCGTAGATAAACCGACGACAAATCTACTCAGTGTGCAGCCAGAATGATTCCTAAATGAAGCTGGTCCACTGGAATGAATGGGAACCTACATATATGGTGACAAAACAAAAATAGTAACACCATTCAGAACATGTAGTCACTGTTACCACACTCAGCTGTCAGATGGATAAGGGATGATGGACTGGAAGGAGGAGAGAAAAATGTGTGGCGCTTTTTGTACGGCGGCGTGTGAGTGAAATCTTATTTTACGAGACATCCAGCCACAGAGTCTCGCTGTGTGGAGCCAAAAACGCGCTTTATTCACAAAAATACTGCATTAATTAGATCACTTTTGTTCGACTGCAATAACATCAGAGCAGACGGGGGAGATTAACAGAGAACTGCAATGACCAACCAGCTATATTTAGATGTGTTTTAAGGGCGCGCACGCAACAAAAATGTGGTTTCCCCATGAGGGTCAGTGGAATGAAGATTTATAGTTTGGCCAGTAATAATGATGGAGCCAAGGAAAGGTCAAAAGGTTGCTTAGATCAATGTATATTTGTTCTCTTCTGGGAACATGTGCCAAGCAAAATCGGTGTGATTATTAAGTTGTTTTTTTTGGATAACATAACCACCTCCTGAGCTGATGACAGACAAACACTCATATTCTACATTCAGATAAGTTCAGATAAGTATCACAAAAGGCTATTAATTAGTAGGTTTCCCACTCCGTACATTCAATGTCAACAGAAAACCAGTTATTGATAAATTGTCAGAGTAAATGTGTTAAAAGCATGGGGAAGTAGAAACAAGTTCCAATAATAAAATGTGGAACCACAGCATATCGTACTCTAAAGTAGCCATCATTTAAAATGAGTGTTATCTGTGTTCAGCAGCTTAATCACAGAGAGGATAAGATAAGATGAGATAAGATACGATGCGATACGATGCGATACGATAACATACAATACGATACGATACGATACGATACAATATGATACAACAAGATAGATACGATACGATACGATACGATACGATACGATAACATACAATACAATACGATACGATAAGATAGATACGATACGAAAAGATAAAACCAAAACTACATCACACGACAAATGCAGAGCCTAATAAAAAAGTGATAAGATATAATTCAATTCAATTTGATATTATCAATTCAATATAAGAGTCTAAGTATAAGAAAATAAGGTATTACTGGTAATGATTCTGTGCTAGTAAAGGTATATTCACACATGATAAGGAAATCTTGCACATGAAATTGGAAAACTGCACCTGAAATTGAATATTAAACCCTTGAACCTTGAATCTATTGAACATTATAAGGAAATATTGCAAGTCAAGTTGAAATGTTACACATGAAACTGGAATGGTGCACCTGAAAAATGGCATACTGCTCATTACACTGACATATTGTACATGAAAACAAAGTGTTGCACATGAAATTGAATATTAAACACTTAAATCTTGAATCTATTAATTATTAGGAAGAATTATTGCAAATAAAGTTCAAAATCACACATGGAATTGGAATGTTTCACCTGAAAAATAACATAGTGCGCATTACATTGACTCGCTGTTCAAGGAAGTAAACAGAACATGAAACTGAATATTAAACTGTTGAATCTGTCAAATATAAAGAAATACAGCAAATGACATTGAATTGAAATATCTCACCTGAACAGTGAAATACTGCTCATTACATTGACATATTATACTTGGAAATGAAATATTGCACCTTAAAGTGAACACTAAACTCTTGAATCTTCTATTGATTATTATAAGGAGCTACTGTAAACAAAACTGGAGTATTTCACCTGAAAACTGAAAAACTGTTCACTAAATTGATATATTTGACTTTAAAACGAAACATTGCACCTAAATTTGAAAAACTGAACCTGAAAAACAACACAGGAAATTGACGAATAAGCGCACGACTCTTGAATCTATTGGATATTGAAAGAATTATTGTAAATGAAATTGAAATTTTACACGTGAAAATGAAATCTACATGATGCTGAAACTTTGCTGTACAACTACACAGATAGTATAAGCTCCCTGTTTTTTCATATTTCAATTTCTTGGCAGCTCTCCCATCCCCTCTCGTGGGTTTTCTGTGCGTCTTTGGCGCGGTCACTTTCGGTAAACAGCGCCTTCTGGCTTGGAGCGCGCTTTACTGGAGAAACACGTCAACCACTGCAGCAGCAGCAGCAGCAGCAGCAGCTCTGCGCGGAGAGCAGCAGGCCTGTGAGGAGCCACAGGAAGCTTGTCAGCCACAGACTGCTCATTCTTAATTATCTCCATGGCTGCTGATGAGAGCCGACTCGAGCCGGACCTGCTCAAGATGCGCCAAAAATCTGCAAAAGACGGACGTGCGAGGGTCGAGCGCGGCCAGATCTGAAATTGAGAGACCGAAGCTGAAACGGGGTCGCTCATCGATGGTTGTTAGTTAGAAGACGTGTGCTGTCTGTCTGCTCTTTACGTAATCTTTCTTTTTGCGTAATTTTGCGCCGGGTGTTGGATGTGCTCGTGGAGCGGGATTATTTTGGCGAGGAGATCTCCAGAGCTCTCCCTCCTCCCCGCATCCGCTTGTTGTCCTCGGCCAGCAGACACACACTGAGAGTCTCAGTTAATATTATTTTTGTGTGTGTCTGTGTTTGCAGCAACATTGTAAACAAACGAGGAGCTGTTTTAATGAAATCCAGCCTCTCTGCATCCCGGGTGAAGGTGAGTCTCTCCTCCTCCTCCTCCTCCTCCTCCTTCTTCTTCTCCATCTCGGCTCACGTTTCCATGTTGTGCTCGTTTGTTTTCCCACAGAATTGGTGCAATGCAACGTTTGCACGGCTCTTCCACAACAAAACGGCAAGGACGCCCGAGAATATAGGGAATAACGTAAACACTTGCATGCATTTGAGATGTAGACGTCGGATTGATGAGTTTTTCTTGCTGTGTTTTTGTGCGAGTCGAGGGGGACGTTAGGGGAGCGGAGGGGAGAGACAGAGGAGGGCAAATGGAAAGAGGAGGAAAATCAATGCCTTTCTTTCAGGAGTGTGAATGCACATGGGTTAGCGTGAGTACCGGGTGTGTGTCTGTGCGTGTGTGTGTGTTTGTGTGAGAGGAGGACGGTGCAGAGCAGCAGGGGAAACTTTGTGCTGTGTTACAGTATCTGCGTGAGGAGGAAAAGCGCAAGAAAGAGGCAGCGGCTACTGTGCATGAAATACTGACTGTTCACATTTGTCCAGAGGCGGGAAGGACATTTACTCAAGTACAGTCTGCAGCAGAGGTGGAAGAAATAGATGTAGCACAGTGGAGGAAGACTCTGTTACAAATAAAAGCCATGCATTTGGATTTATACTGAAAGAAAAAAGTCTGAGCATCAAAATGTGTTTATAATAAGAGATGCATAAATGAGCTGGTAAAGGTGATTTAACTATTCAACTAACTTACTGAATTCTTGCTTGGAGATCAACAAAGTTTTTTTTTTATTTCAATCTATAATATTACACCTTAATTTATTTGTTGATTACATTTGACTAAGTCTGTTAAGAGTTATCAGAGAAATGTTGTGGACTACAAAGAATGATTTATGACTCTGGATTGTAGTGAAGTAGAGGTACAAATCAGTAGAAAATAAAATATTCAAGTAAACCTAAAAGTGCAGTTCCACCACAGCGCAAGTGTTACAGGCCACCTTTTATTTTGGCATTTTAGCAGGATTGTAGCAACTGTAGTTAATGTTTAAAAGTATAATAGGCTGTTATATACCAATAAAAAAGTAATCATTTGTATTTGTGTCAAGAATTTATGAGCACAGGGATGTTTTATGGTGTTGCAAGCAGCCACCGAAACCAGCAGAATCAGCATGAGTTCTCCATTGTTGTTAGTCTCTGTGTTCAAAGATCCATCATTCAATAAGGGAGAGATGGAAAGCTCCAGTGTTTTAAATCGTAGCAGTGGCTCGGCCCTTTTGTTTACATTTCTATCACAGCTTGTGTCTTTAAATACACTTCTAAATGCCGGATTTTTCCATCGTGGTATTGTTGTGATTTGAATACCTCTCCTCCACTGCATGAATGTGTAGGTTTGTGTTTACAGTCTGTTTGGCTAAAAAAAAATGATATCTCTCTGTTTTTTTTTTTTTTTTCAGCCTTCGATCAGCAATGTGCCTGGGAATCCTCCAGCTGCTCTTCCATGCTTTTTTCTGAGAATGGGATCGTAGTAAATCTCTCTGGGATTTAGAAACAACTGCTAGCATGTTGCAGCCTTCAGCCAGAGCAGGTGACAGCCTGTTGGAAACATTACCTCACTGGAGTAAGAGTCAGCGATGGGCCCTGGTGCTCACCCTCTGCATGGCTCTGCTCTGGCTTCCGGAGGCATCGGGATCTGCGCTAAACTGCCACAAGACGTGCATCTGCGCCTCAAACATAGTGAGCTGCTCCAAGATGAATCTGACCACCATCCCGACCGGTCTGCCGCTCTACACTGCTGTACTGGACCTCAGCTACAATGAGATAACACGGCTGCGAGCCGAGTGGACCCCAGTGAAGCTCCCGAATCTTCACAACCTCCTGCTCAGCCACAACGATCTCTCTTTCCTCTCTACAGAGGCGTTCATTTATGTGAAGCAGCTGCGCTATCTGGACCTGTCCTCCAACAACCTGCAGCAACTGGATGAGTTCATCTTTGAGCCTTTGGTCAACCTGGAGGTCCTCCTGCTGTACAATAACCAGATTTCACAGATTGACCGCGCGGCTTTTATCAGCATGAACAACCTGCAGAAGTTGTACCTTAGCCAGAACCAAATCTCCCGCTTCCCCGTGGAGCTGGTCAGGGAAAAGTCCCGACTCGAGAAACTCAGCCTCCTGGACGTGTCCTCCAACAAGATCAAGATGTTGCCCATCGATGAGCTCCAGGTACTCCCTGCCTGGATTAAAAATGGCCTCTACTTCCACAATAACCCTCTGCTATGTCACTGTGATCTCTACACACTCCTCGCTCACTGGTACATTCGAAAACTCAACTCTGCTGTGGACTTTAAAGACGACTACACGTGTGTGCTGCCAGGTCCGCAAAAACAACAAGCAGGCATTTTTGATCTCAGCGGTGAGAACATGAACTGCAGCACATTCAAGGAGGAAGATGAGGAGGCTTTTCTGGAGCAAACGTTGACCCTCAGATGTGACACCAAACACAGGGACATGTCAAAGACGTGGACAATGCCTGGCAATGTGCCGGTGATTTCTGGAAGCAACCAGACAGCCAAAGTCCTGCTGGACGGGAGCCTTCAGATCAGTCCAGTCAGATCTGAGGACTCTGGGACGTACACTTGCTTTGCCATGAGTGAGGCCTTCAATGAGACTATCTATGTGGTGCTCAAGGTTCACAACTTCACCATGCACGGGACCGGGGAGGCCCTGAACACAGGATACACCACCTTGGTGGGCTGCCTGGCCAGCGTGGTGCTGGTGCTTATGTACCTTTACTTGACGCCATGCCGCTGTTTCTGCTGCCCCAACAAGGGTAAGAATCGGGGGGAGGACAGCATCCACTCCTCAATGCTCAGCGTGACACCGACTCACGAGGACCCAGCGCTCAAGGCCGAGCTGAACAGGCACGTGGCGTTCATAGACTCCAAGGACTTGCAGGGCCAGAACGGCAAGCTGAACCCCAACGGGGATGAGGAAGACGACGACCTGGACGCAGAGGCTGGTTCTCTTATGAAGGGGAAGAGGAAGAAGTCAGTAGCAGAGTCCATTAGCTCCGTCTTCTCGGACACTCCCATGGTGGTCTGAGATGAGACTGGCACAGACAGCGGACGCCACATGACTGGATGTATATGGTACAACGCGAGCCACGTTTTAGTTAATGTAAACTGTGAATGCGGGAGAACACTATGAAGGATGTTCATCTGCAGTTGCTGGCAAGTGAAAAGAAGGATCTCAAAGGGAATTTAAAAAAAAAAAAAAACTGTCTTGTTGTCAGAGAGGACAATAGACAGGACTTTTCCAGCATTTTAATCAGTAGCACTTAATATTCATACTGTGAAGGAATGGCAGTGTACATGGACAGTGGAAACTAGAAGTCTTATGAGAGTAAAACGTAGGCGATATGTTGTTGATATCAGCACTCAGGAAGTGATACATTAAATTGCAAAGTGTGGGGAAAATGCATACGATAAAATGCACAGGTTGTAATTAGATTTGAGAAAACATAATAGTTCACTCATAATATGTATTGAAATCATGGCTGGCTCATAATTATATTTATTATGAAGGATTAGAATAGATTGCATCTTACGTAAACATTAGAGCATAGGTACATTTACCCCTCCTATCTCGACAGAGACTTAGATTGACGTCACCAGACTGTGTGGCATTAACCTTGAGTCATTTATAGTGAAACAGCATGCCATCAAACCACATTATTAGAGACCCTAGACTGATCTATGTGAGTGGGTAGAGAATAGAACGGATTCAGACGTTTAGTCATTTATATCGAGACTGCAGTAGCACAAACATATTCAGAGGCCAACTAACGGTCATTTTCATCTTACTTCATAGCTGAAGCTTAGTTACAAAGTTAATCAGACCGATTTGTAGTCATAGTCATGTACGGTGATATAGGAGACAGCTGTTTTATTCATTATCATATTAAGGGATCAATTTACATAGAGCGATAGTACAAAATTGCTTGTGGCAGACTATTGTTCCTAAATTAACTAAATAGTTGCCTCTCAGTTCCTGCACATCTACAGTAGCCTATAGCCCAAAAGAAACCTTTTGCAGCCTTACGCAATTAAAAACCTTGGAACGCCTCCAACATACACACATTAGGTGCAGGGAAATATTTTGTTCTGACTAATTATCAACATATTGTCTGAATTCTGTATACACACAGGTGCCACAGTCCTTAAAAGGACCAATGGGCTTCTGTTTGTCGTCCGCTGAGGTGACATTTACTGTCAAGTTTAAATCCTCCTCTGGGCCAAGTTATAGCATCAGGAGAGTAAACATTAAGCCAGTGGTCACAGCTGGAAACTTTTGGTCTGTATGAAAAATACAAAACCTTGGGATATTTTTAATGTACAAAAAAACAAACTTGAATTCATAAATTTAGTCATAGATTTAAGTATTTGATCTTACATTTTGCTCAGATTAACAGTTCCTGTTCTCAGTGTCACACTTCAAATGTAGCTGTTTTGCCCTGTGGTAGTTAGAAAATGATTTAGTTCGTATTAGCAGGTGAACATTAGAGTCGGATTTCCTCAAAATTAGGCTTATGAATAACACTAATGAGGCTGTACATTATTTGACAGGAAAGCAGGAAAGGGTTAAGTAACACAGGGGACGTGATGTCTTTGAAAAGATCCCTTTGTTTCAGCATTTATTATTGAATCTACTGTAAAATTAATTTAACATTCAAGACCCGATACGCCGCACACATTTCATTAACGGTATTAAAACAGGAGAATGTGTCCCTGTATAAACAAGAAAGAGCAATTTCAGAAAACCGTGTTCATGCCGTAATACAACAAGGCTAGTCTGGCATAAATGCTAATTGCATCTTTTGATGGGACGTAGCTTCCCTCTGCTTTCCATGTCTTTGTCTCACCGAGGTGGAGGGGATCAGTGTGTTATCATGAGTCACAGCAACACAAAGCCTTTCTCTCTGGCTCCCTCTACACTGACAGCCTCAATTCAGCCCAGATGTGTTTGCTTTGTTTGTGTACCTCTGCCATTATGAGCCTGCCCTTGCTTAAATTCAAAGGCAATCATTCAATCGGGCCATGAATGTGATGCCCTTTAAGTAGTCCGCAGTTTATTTATGAGGGAAACGCCTGAGGCTTTCAACCAACATTTGCACTCCAGCTGAGTCATATGGTCGGAAAGTACTGCTCAATGCAAGAATCTGTGAGTTCAAAAAGTACCACAATAATAATTGATAGTTATGTAAGTTACGTTCGCTAGCTCTCAAATGTTAAGACGCACACATATCTGGGTGCAATAAGTTTTTTTTTTTTTTACGCAAAATTAGTGGAATATTCACAGTTGCTGTGCGCACCGCAGCATCTTCTGTGTGGGTGAGAAAAGGAAGTCACACTTATCAGAGAGGTGGTGTGTGAATCATTCCTCTTTCTCACACATTGGAATACCAGGTGCAGACATACAGAGCAGCAAAAAATACCACGACGCACTCACATAAAGCCGCATTTAGCACGACTGCAGACTGGTCGCAGGTGGCCATGAATCTGTCACATTTGAAGGGATCCCGGTTTTTAAGTTTTACCCTCTGGAACCTGAAATACATGTGCTGTTCCCTGCTAAAACCGACCAACCGGGTCGGCTCGAGAAGCTAAAATCTACAAATCAGACACAGGTATTACGGCGATTGAGTAGCACACTAAATAACCAGGCCATTGTGGAAGCAGCGTATGTTTCCCCTGCAGTAACCCAGTGTCAATCTAGTTAAATCTGCTGAGGCTAATGGGTGGTTTACTCCTCTGTGTTGTCACTCAAAATACAAGTTGCAATTCTGTATAGAGAAAAACTAAGTGCGATTGCAAAGGTCCCAACATACAGGAGAAGAGTGGCTGCGTTCTCTCCAAAGCAAATCTGCCTTCCTATATATATCTATATATACAGTATATAAATGTATTGAGACTCACTTTCTGTGTTCAGTATTGATTAGTTGTGTATTACTATGTTCTACCAGTGTAATGACTGTATTCTTGTATAATCCGATGTTGTTCATTTTGCATTTCGTCCGCCGCCGTGCTACTGTTAGTTGTCTCTACATTCAAGTCTTGATATAAATGTTTATTTTTTAAGCAGGGTGGGGTTTAGTTTTTTATTGAAAGAGGATGTATTTTACACTTGACAGGTGAAGAATATGGCAAAACGGAGAATATATGTGATCCTGTATTCAAAACTGCATGGGGAGAGTGCCAGTTTGGAACTGAATATGATACATCCTAATGGGCAGTGAGTATGTAGCCGCCAGTAATATTCAGTCAGTGTTTGACTTTGCTCATAAAGCCATAATCAGTTACAAACACAGTGCTTTATTGGATCGGTGTTATGTGTGACGACCAAGGGGGCTGTAGGGGAGTTTGTTCTCCAACACACAATTAAAGCCACAACTTTTCTGTCTGTAAAAAAAAAAAATACAATATTTTTCTTTTTAACAAGAAAAAAGAAAAACCAGGGATGCACTGTAGGAAAAATCAAGAGATCTCTCCATCTACCAATGAATCCCTAAAAACCACAAGCAGCTTGGAATGACTCTACAGACGGTGTGTAATTCAATCTTCTCAGGACTATGTCAGTTCAAATGTAATATGATGTGAAACCTCATGATTGCATTTTAAACGTTTTCTTATTTGCAATATCGAAAAGGCACAATGTTTTGAGATCTCTGCAGTTTACAGGCCCTTAGCTATTTACTGTAATGGTACATTAACTCAGTTCTCGCAGATTAGGGAGGAGAGCGCTCTCTCACTGCCCGGCACCCATCTCCATTCATCTGACTATGAAGTAGCAATTACGGGAACATCCATGAGGTGGTGAGGCTAAAAGCTTGCTACTTTAACCGAGTGCTACAACAAGTGTCCACGGGACACGAAGAGAGCTTTTAAAAGCATTAAAAGCACTAAGTTTATTGACCACTGCTTCAAAGATGAGATTGTTGGTCACTGCCAGAAAAACTGAAAGGTCTCACAGCGAAAGTGGAATGGCTTTGCATGGTATGCTTAAGAGCTTCTCTGACTGCAGAATAGGTGCAAACCAGTAGGCATTAAAGAAAAAGAATACTGATATATCATTTGACTTAATAAAAGATTGAGATTTACACTTTGTGCTGCCTCCATTTTTCCTGCTGTCTCTTACTTATGTCAGAAATAGTCTTGGAAAAGGAAATAGTTGTTGCATCTCAAGCTGTGCGGCTGGTACCTTATGGAGACTTGACATTTTGCCAGAAGTAAGCTATGACTAATGTTTAGAACTGCTGTCACAGTAAATACAGAATTACCATTTTGGGAAACTTTGTACATAATGCTATGCGCTTACTTGATTAGTAATGCACTGAATTTCAGTTTTTCCATCCCTCTGGCAAAGCACAGCTACACAGATGGAGGGTTATGTGTATAAGCTTTCTGTTAGATATACCAGTTAACCATTCTGACTACATTTAAGATATGCCAGTTCTTATTCAGTTCAGCTGGAACTACAACACAATATCGAGGTTTATATAGGATGTGTGTTCATAGAACTTGGTGCAAATGGCTTCAGGTTCTTCTTGCTGCTTCTTCTGAGGAGCATGACTGACAACTTACCACCATCTAGTGTTAAGTGGTGGACTGCTGTATGTAAATGTTGACATTTAATAGGGTCTTCTGCTGGGAACCATTATAGCATTAGCAATTCATACAAAACTGACAATGTATACAAATTACTACACAACTACATGAACAATAGGAACAGAATAAATGAGTGTAAGTTAATATTTTTAACAGGAACTATTTGTGATGTAGGAAGCCAAATTAAAAAAAACATGTTCAACATGCAGGGAAGGTTATCCAAAAAAAAGCTCACAAAAAATTCAATCAATGCTTCTAAATTGTGTCACAAAACAAAAGGTTTTTTGACTGCATGCATGCCTTAGATGCTTGTCCATGTGCCACATTGTCATAAATAGAGCACCAAGCAAGAAGTTAGCACAAGTTATATGACTTATATCACAGAAAAAATGTAGTTTAATACCAAGCAATGCTTTCTACTGAACTCTGGCTGTTTCTTTCGATTATAGGACAGCGCCATCTGGTGTTACAAAGCTGAAAATGATGCAGAGAAAACCCTTCAAATACACATTCATTTTCATAATTTAAGTAGTGTAAAATCAAAATTTCAATTTAGCTGTGCAATCCTGAAGTCCTCCTCTGATCATTTGTTAAACCATTAAAATCTCACCTCTGTGTATGAAAGTTACATGTTTAGATGTTTAAAAAAAAAAAAAAAAATAACCCCTTCCTGCCTTACAGTGGCTTTGATACAACACGACATTATCGCTTTCTTTACAGTGAAATCCCTGCCGCTCTCTCCTCGCTGCAACTCAGCACACCAGCTCAACTCTGCTCAAACACTGTAGAACTTCTCTGCGCTACACAGTGACAAATTGAACTACTGGTGTAATTCAGTCAATGTGTTTGACCTGGAAACTGATTCTGAAGCAGAACAATGATTAGAGAAAGCCCACAAGCTGAATGGATTGGGTTTGTCTGTTTTTAAAAAAAAATAGATTTGTTAGGTATGAAACCGCAGAAGTCTGAATGTGTATTTTTGAGGCTCATCGGTACACTGCAGTTTCAATGCAGAAATGCCCAGTGATGGTGTCGACTGCTTATATTGCATATATTTCAACAGTAACAATGTGAAAAGTGGAGAAGGGTCCAAACACTACAGAATCGCTGCAGAATAACACAAAACAGAGAGAAATAAAAATTCAAGATTTTTTTTATTATTCTGCCATGAAATGTCTTAACATTAGCAGCATAATGAGCAGACTGAGGTATGTTGATGTTCTTACACAAATAATCGACTGAGACATTTAGTCCTGTAGAAAAATAGACACTTTTGCAACAATACACAAATACAGTAATGTGCATACAAATACTTGTTCCTGACATCTGTGCATAAAAAAGTTTGGATAAATAAACATGGACAAAGAGACATGCACACACACACACACACACAAACACAAACACATTCAAACACTCACACTATCCTGGCAGTAGCTGTGGCCTTCAGCAGGCCTTTTCTCTAAGTTGTCTTTTTAAGGCTGGCCTCCTCGTTGGCTGCAAAGATGAGCGTAAACAACCGTCACTTACAAATGCATTTACTGTTGATAAAATAAAAAAAAGACACAGTTCAATCAAAATCCATTCTATTCATGTCATTTTTTTTAAAGGGGATGAATCCACATCATAGGAAAATTGGTGGTGTGCAGCCTTTTCCACAACTGGCTCTTTCAGGGGTCAGATCTTTTCTCCAATCCCCAGGCAAGCACATCCTCGATATTCTCTCCCTTCCAGGAAACGAGGCTGGAGTGGGAAGGGGAGGACAAACATTTATACTTTGCGGATCTGGATATTGAGGAGCTGAGCGGCAGGGACTCACTGCTGCGTTTGCGCTTTTGGGTGGTACTCTTGCAGTCATAGCCCCCGACTTTCTGCTGAACCGCTGGTGGTTTCCCTCGGCTGCGAGGAGAGCGGTGGGTTGGTGCAGGTAGAGGGGAACACTTTTCCAAAACTGTGAGCTGTCTCTCTGCAGGCTTCAGGAGAAGAGGAGGGCATGGCTTCTTCCCATGTGAGAAGGTACCGCTGGCTGGTCCTTGAGAGGAGGGGGCGTGAGGCTGGCTCTTCTCGTGGAGAGGGGGGTCCCTGATGAATCTGCAGGATTTGTCCTCACCGCTGTGTAACAGCTTGGCAGCTCTGTGTGCTGCACTTGCATCTTGCATAAGCTCCACCTCCTTTAACTGAGCCTTGCTGGGTCGCTCAGCAGGGTTGCGCCGCCTACCAGATCCGAGGCTTGCAGAGGTGGAGGAATAAGGCGGTTTGGTACTGCGAGAGTTCTGCTGACTACTTTTGGTTTCCAGTGGTCCCAGTGAGGTAGACTCAAGGCAGAGGGAGCCAGCGGATTTGGAGGGTCTATCGCCAGCCCTGACAGGTGTTCCTATGGTTGAAGGTGTGACATGACGTGACCTGAGACCTGATGACACTTGAGGCATTTTCCTGGAAATTAATGGGGAAAAAAATTAAGACGATTAAGTTGCTGAATTTCACACAAATGAAATAAAAAAACAAAACCCCAAACTTACATGGACTTACCCTGATCGCTCTGGAGGACCAGATGCTGCTTCATTGTGTTAAGAGATAGGTCATCCAGTGGCTGAATCTTCCAACTTTTAGCTTAAAATGACTGAGACTGCACAACTGTGTGCTTAATTCTAAAATTTCTCCCTTTAAACACACTTGAAGCAGGCAAATACACAGGAAGCTTTTTTCAAGTCTGTCTTTTTTTTGCAGTAAACCAAGTGACATAGCAAATACCATTAATCTCACCATCTTCTTAAGATGATTTACTTCTGGAGGAGGATGAAATTAAGTCCGACCATGCCTTGTACAATTTAAGACAGACAATTCAAACAAGTATACATCTATATTTCAACGTACAACTGCGCAAATTCATCGACGATCAGTATCAGTACTGACATTTAAAATACCCTCCGCTCATTGAAAGCAGCCCATGTAGATAAAATCACTCAGTTGCAACGTGGGTACATCTGATTTTAGCACCCTTTATTTGTCATTTAAAAGTAATTTTTGATCATATGAGTCTGAGTCGCTGCACTAGAGTAACTCAGTGGAAACTAGAGGCTTGTCTGTGCACAGCCGCCTAAGTTTCACTGTAGCTTGCATTTAGGGAACTTCGGTAAGCTGCAGTGCCTGTCAATAAGCAAATGTTTAGCAAGTGAGGTGTTTTATTTCTATTTTTGCCTCTAACCAGATGCACTAAATAGACAGGAAAAGAAAACCTTATTTAAATAGAAGCATTTGCACAAACAGGAATGTGCACAATATGCAAGTGAAAACGTTTCATTAAATGTGAAAATGCAAAATGTAATCCCGTAAATATCAATGAATAATCTTGATTTCAAAACTGATCACAATAATCGTGATTATACCTTCAACCCACCAGCAAAGTCATAACAAAGCTGATGTTTATGCTGTCCAAACAAATACCGGTGAGTAGGCAACACCAAGGTTTGATGCATTTTTAAAAGAGCTACTGATGTGTAAAAGCGTGTGAATCCCTGCAGAGGATAACCACTTTAAGCTGCAGAACTTTGCCCTGCAGGGGATTCAGTGTCAAGCTCAAAGACCAACACTAGAACATTCTGACTGAGCAACACCTTTCTACACATTTCTGCACACAAATAGGTGAGACTTCCAGTGAGAACAAAGCAGTGATACTCACTTCCACAAGTGTGCGCTGACATGGCGCTCCAACATGGCGCTGAGGGCAAACCGCAGGTGGTGCAAACGACGGTCAAATGTGAAGATGCTACAACCCAGTGTGCGGCATCCAAAAGTGCATAGCTACAAAACAAAAACAACTGTAAGAATACTAAAACATACAAACACACTTTGGTATAGAGAGAGTTTTTATGGAGGTGTACATTTTCCCTCCTGACATGAGCGACTTTAAAAAGAATTTAAAATCATTCTGACATCCGCCACCTATTTTAATATCTGAGAAAGGGACAATGAATTAGTCCAGTGCATGTCACTCTATAAAAACAAGTGTCACAAATGCTGAAAATGATCAAAGCAGTCATACATAACTACTTTTGAGCACCCAAATCTACTTGCTGTACTTCTGTACATTTCTGCACTCACCCCGAGTGGTTTGGGATGCCAGGGTGTAGCAGGCAGGTTGGTGGATTCTTCCCGCTCGTCTTCGTCACTATCCTCACTTGACAGCAGGCTCTGATTGAAAGGGTACGGAGGTTGCACCTCCACTTTGACAGTGTTGTTACCTTTCCCCTCTGGAAAGCTTTCTGATGGATTCTTGGACCTGCGTGAAGCACAGATCAACACAACAACAGTGTAAACACAAATACTTAGAAAGACTCGCATCAGGATCTGTGTGATAATCTTCAACAGAAACCATTCCACACAACTTTGCCCTAAATTAATATTTTGTCTAATCAAAATAACGACTGTTTATATGCATGTCACTGTCACTCTGCTGGGTCAAATCATTATGGTGCAAAATAAAACAGGCATAAGAAGAAGTTGGTTGCCGTGACTGCCTGTAGTTCTGCAACATGCTGTTACTCTGCAGGACTACAGAACACTGTAAGCCTGCAGTTGTGTTTCTCTCCTGTTATTGTGACTTTGTTCATCTCAGTCCACGATTTAGAGAACTGCTGCATTTCCAGGGATAATCTGTAGAGGTATTTGGGTGAATCAGATTAACTTAGTTAATGTGAAAATGTTGTGATTCATACCTGAGAATGTGACAGTTGCTGTTGAAGTTGTATTTACTGCCCTGAGCGCTTATTTTCTCTTCAAAAGCTTCCAGATGTTTCTCTTTGTGTTTTGATTTGTCGAGAAGCTGCTCCACTTCTAGACCCGCCGAGGCTGTCGTCTTCTCCGCTGCCAAATGATCAGCGGTCTTAGTCTTTGCCGGTGATTTCTGCTGCTGGTGGATGGAATCAGTCTGTGAAGGATAAGCACCACAAGAGAGGAAAGGAGGACTTTATGTTTAATCTTAAATAAATGATAATGCCTCTAAGACAAAAACATTTTTCTGTTTCTGATGATCAACACTGAAGATAATGGTTACAAACAACATGGACTGAGAGTTTACATTGCATATAAGCTCCCGGCTGCTTGGTTTCTTCCTCTCCGGATCCAGAACTTTGCAGGGTTTGTTCAGCTCACATTCTTTTTCTAATAGAAAAAAAGCAAACACATCATTCACTCAGCACCAGCAGGACAAAGACAGTTCATACAGTTACATTGTAAAGCAAATACTGATGCATGGAACATACTATAACCAAGCTACTGAATGGACAGCATTCGCCAGTTTACAGACTTGTGGCAGAAGAGCAGCAAGCGAAGAAACAGTCAGAAGTTGTATCAGAAGCAGACTTACTGTTGTTGTTTTTGTAAATTCGACTGTAGGTTCTCATGCCTCGCAGAGACTCAGCGCTCTGCCCGGCTGCCGACTTCTGCACAGAGGGTCTGTCTGACAAAGAGGTGGAGGAAGAGCTGTTGCCAGGGGGCAGAGGAGCCGAGTGCCATGGAGGAACACTGGGTCGAGTCGTGGAAGAGGACTGATGTGGGAGGGGAGGGTTTTCCTCTGGGAACTTCACTGAAGATAAACTGCAGAAGAAAAGAAATAAACTTTGGAGTTAGCTGATTAAAATCATGCAATTAAGGCAAGTATGTGAGAAAACCCTGCAGCTCCCAAATGACATAATAACTAAAAGGAATTTTTCTAACTTCGATGAGATCGCACAGCATTCTGAATTGTTAGATGATGATAATAATTTTAAAAAAAAACTTAATTAAAAAACAACTTTCAAAAAAAAAGGTAAAAAAGGCCTTCCAATAAAAAATAAATAAAAATTGAAAAAAAAAAAACAAAAAAAAAAAATGAAAAAAAGAAAAAACAAAAAAAAAAAGCAAAAAACCACAAAAACTAAAAGAAAACAAGAAAAACCCCCCCAAAAAAAAGGGGTTTAAAAAAGGAACTTGGAAAGGCAAATTTTTTCAAAGTCCTGTAATTGCCGTTACTGCACAGGAGGGACAGAGTGAACCGAATCTCCAGTCCGTGTACTTGCCGTTAGTGGATGTTTGTTCGATGATGTGCATGCAATGAAAGTACAGCAGCTTTCCTATTGTGAATATGGAATCTGTGCTGGTTTGATGCTGGTCTGGTGAGAACTGTTGGCTCTCTCCTTACTTGTGCCCTCCTCTTCCTGTCACCTGTGCCCTCTACATACACACCCTGTGTCCAATTACCGCCACCAAGTGTCCAAACAATAATAACAATAATCCACATCAATTTACCTGCTGACAGCAAACATAAATGGCTCCTACAGACTTAAAAGAGAGCACAGAATTAGCCGACCTGATTTCCTAGTTAGATGTAACTGTTTGTGTACATGTGTTCTTTTATGCTCTGCTAACTGGGTTGCTGACATATTGAACTTATAAATAACAGCATAATGTTGCACAACAGGAGCTTAAAGCTTTCTGCGACTGGTTCTTTTTTTTTTCTTCCTGCTACTAATGATGCTGTCCCATCTATGTCTCCTAGTACTGTTTCAAGAAAGCAGCAAATGAATAACAAGGTAGGAAACAGAACTCGGTTCTTCAACACAAGAAAATCCAATAACTGGAGCATCTCTGAAATTGTTGTTGCTTCTGATGTCTATTTTTTTCTAATTATCAGGCAAACAACCACAAACTGTACCTCACTGTCTCCTTGTGAGCTTTAGCAAGCTTGTGTTGGTGGGCAGGTGATGCTGCTGAGGACATGGCACTGCCCTCATAACATCTGCCGTCCTTCTGCTTCTCTGTACAAGAGGAAACACTGGAAGAAGCCCGGCCGGGGAACGGTCGCTGCTGAGGCGCCACAGCAGATGACTGGGCACACTTCTTCATGACAGCACCGTGCCACCTTTCACAGTGCTTCTCAAAAGCTTGAGGTTTCACCACCTGGTCGCAGTGGCTGCACATCACCAGATAAAAGTCATCGTGGGCTGGGCAGTGGCCGTATATGTGCATGTCTGTGGAGAAGAATGGGAAGAGAAATGAATTAAAATGAATCCCTGAGGTGATAGTGAATGCATTTAGGAGCTATTGGGTTTCAGAGTCAGTCCTCACCTTCTTTTCTGAGGGTCATGGTCTCAGAGCGGCTCATCCCATTCTTGTTATCTTCATCACTGGATCCAGCTGCAGGCAAACACAGTCAGCATGAAGTGTTGGGATGAGGCTTTACTGTAGCTTCTCTTAAAAAACAGGTTCACTTGGTTATCTGAATAGCACTGCTGAGTTAAAACAGGAACATGATTCGAGGGGGATTTACACCTCAGTTTAACAGCTATTCAAAAATCTCTGCTGCACTGCTAGCAGCTTCCATGTTAGCTGGTGTGGTTTTAGCTAGTTGGTTGGAGCAGGTTGGTTAAATGTGCTGCTTGGTGATCAAACCGGACAAACCCTCAAGTAAGTTGTTGTTTTGGTGTGACTGGTTGGCTAATGCTGAACTTACATGTTCACCGTTTAGCCGCTAGCATTGTGTTTTACCAAACGGTGTTTTCGCTGCACTATTTAGCTAAAGTGAAAGAAACAAATGACTTAAATATGGTTTTATTTGTCGCCGGTTAACATTGTTAGCAACCTCCCTGCACTAGGACCCAGCGGGTCTTTTGTTTGGGTCGCGCTTTATGCCGCTCAGTGTGAATGTAACACAAAATAAATGAGTGGACGCGGACGCTTTGACACGGTGAACATCATGTGTGGGGCAGAAGAGCAGGACTCACCGTCAGACGATGAAATATTCACCCTGTCTGCCCAACAACTCCAGTTTAATCCGACAAAGTCGTCGAGATTAGGATTTCGCCGATCCAAAGCGGCCATTGCTGCTCTTGCGCGTTCACGCGTCACGAAGCTCGTGGCCGCGCTAAACCCTTTACATCCTGAACGGTGTGCTCGCGCCCTAACAACAAATGAGGAAATACATCAGCACATTTTTTTTTCTCTTTCTTAAAATAAATAAATAAACACACTAAAATAAAAAAATGTGCAGATTGTACTTATAGATGGCACATAGAAAATGTGATAGGACATTTTCTATTACTTTTTTTGTTGCTTGAAATTCCTCAGGTTTCCTCCACTTGCTGTTTAATTCACTTGTAACACGTACTTCTTATAATTGTTGTGTAACATTTTCTTTTTTGTGACTTGCAACACTTGCTTTAAAGAAAAAAAAACCCTTTATCCTTACTGTAATGCACTGAATTACGAGATCAGATTCCTACTCTATTTCTAAATATACACCATGAACAGAAGGATCCCCAAGAAATGTAATTTAGATGTTGGGATTCATTAATTGTCATTTTCTGCAGCAGATGGAAGTTCAGTTGCAGCTTCCGTTGCAGGTGGTGAGACAACTACAAAAAGGGCTCCACGTTTGACATTAGCACTTACTTATTTTTGAGACACAATATAATTCTACAACTTCATTTTGCAGACGTTTTTATCCGAAGCGACGTACATCTGAGAGCGGATACAACACAAGCAAGGATCTGCTAGGGGGAAAACAATCTAGATAAGTGCCATGGAACAAGTTCAAGTGTGATAGGGCGCTGATGCCAATAGCAGGCTGTGTGGGAGGTAAGAGGGTTTTTTTTGTTTGTTTGTTCAGTGAAGAGCTGGGTCTTTGGTCTTTTCTTAAAGACTGAGCAGGAATATAACATGAAGGGCTGCACGAAGTTATCATTTTTAAATTATTCTGGCTATTGTTAATCAACAAGCCTAACAAACACTTCAACACACTGCAAACTATCCATAAAGCTGGTGATGTGGTCTGATTTTTTGCTTTATATGAGCAACAGCATAAACCCCAAAGAGATCCAATTTATAATATTAAAGAGAAAGATTACATAGAGCGAGTTCAACATTATCCAAGCTGTGCCTGCTTTCTATAGTCTGAACAAAGCCTGTACATTTTTGGGTATGTATTGTATAAGACTCATCGATTAGGATGTGGTGATTTGATTTGTCACCTGACTAATATGCCACTACACTGCAGGTTTAAACTAGAATTTGACTTTCATGAAGAAGGTCAGGAGATTTTTGTATGTTGCCTGAATGCCTTAATCTGCACAAATTAATAAATCACACAGATTCATTAACTTTTTTAATCTTACGAGCAATAAGTGTAAATAGTATCAGCTCATGTTGACTGTCTAACGAACACAGTGTCCAGTACGTGTGCATTGAAAGAACCAGACATCAAATCCGCTTTATCCTTTTATTGATGCATTTTCATGTCCACACAGTACCTTTTTGGAACGCCCATCTGTGACACACTGATCAACACAGAGATGGATTAAACTGAAGACTGTGAATCGGACAAGCCCACTGTGTATAAAAGTGGGAAGTCATAGCAATGGCAGAAACAGAGAAATACAGTTTGCATTCCCTTACAACGACGCAATGGTAGAAGCCTGACAAAAGCAAGATAAAAGGCGTGCAGTGAATTAGGAACAGGTTAGAAAGATCAGTCAAGTGTTTCAGAAAACAAAAATGTTATACAATACTATTGAAATATTATGGACCTTGATGGGGAATTTTCTTACAAATACCTTAATTTAAACATTTTAACGACACAGGACAAACACAAAGTCATGACCTATTAGGGAATATGTCTGTAACTTCTACCTTGTAAATATAACTATTTTAAATGTAAAATTCATAAAGTGGCAACATGGTCAGAATTCAACAAAATATTCAACAAAATGTTCAACTTTTGGTCTCAACTCGTGAAATTATTCTAACTTAAAGAGATAATGAGGCATAATGTAACACAAAAAGATAAAATAAAAGTGCTTTTACCCCGTTTATAAGTAATCTCACATTGGCAGCTGAATTATTTTTCCAAATGAACCATAAAGTGAAACATATTTATTGCAACATCAGATTTGAATGCCTTTTGTATGTTTTAGAATCGGGCTAAAACTAGATTTTGTCTACAGTCTACACTTGTGGGAACAATAAAAGCACTTCAAGCAGTTTATATTAACTAGGAATCATGTGGTCGATACACTCAACAGCCCTGAGTTTTTAAAGAAATCGCTGATGACAGAAATGATGACTGGAATAGACATAATGTAAATCAGTGTTACTATTTGAAATAAGGACTTCATTTTGGATGCCTTTGTATACAAACAAGCAAATTGAGCATCTATTAGGAGAACATTTCAACTGCTTTATTTTCCTGTCTGTCTTAGTACCTGAAGTTTCAACCTTTTGAAATGTGTGTATAAAATTAATAAGGTTAATACTGCAAAAAGAACAGTCATTTTTGAAAATGTATACTGTACCTTGAAAAGTATTTTGCTTTTTACAGCCATTACCAAAGTTACTAATTTAATAGCACTACATGTTTGACATCTTTGAAATGAGGAAGCTGTGTAGTTACGATGGCCTGACTCCCCCCTCCGCATCTGCAGGCTGGTTGGCTGATTTGTGGAAAGGTGTTTCCTTGTAGATAAACCAGCAGTTGCCACCCCACAGGATGAGGTTCAGAAAACCAAATATCTGCCAAAGAATAAGACATATTTTAGGTATCTCAGGCTGTGGTTCTACACAAGTTGTAAATAGATTTTTAAAAAGGGAGTAAATCGTGCAAAACTTACCACAGAGGCATTTAGTCTGCCCATGTGAGGTAGGGCCCCTGCAGTGCATGTGCTTTTGCCATTCTTGCAAACATCAAGAAAACTTATAATGGTGTCAGGCCTGGTGGCCCACTTCACATCAGACAAGCCTTTACCCCAAGCAGAGGAGGATGCCAACCACATGAAGGCCAAGGCCCCAGTCACCAGCAGGTCCTTATAGAGCAGAAAGAAACAGCATCAGTATAAAACTGACAAACTCACTCCAATGGTAACTCTGTTGAACAGAGACTACCTAGTGCAGTATTTCCCTAAGCTGCTTGGAAACCACACCCTTCCCATCATTTCATTTACACAACTCTGTTAAATGCACTTTCTCTGACCTCCAGTTGGATTCCAACATGGAGTGCACTTCTTGAAACTCAGCAGTTGACATAAGAGGTTGAATCTTACACAAAAGGACACAGTCTAAATACTGTCTGGGTAGATAAAACTACATCCAGTCACTCAAAACAACTACGTGCAACACATTCTTGCTTGACATTTGCTTTGAACTGTACGCCATCTCAACCTCTCAAACCCATTTGTGGTAGGATGTAGCTGAGCACACGCATTTCACCAAAATGTCTGCAAAATCCACACAAACATACCACAATGGGGCCACGACTAGATTCTCTGTACAAGTGCTGGTAGCCCAAATAGAGGACGAGTGAAGCAGTGCTGTAGAGAAAAGCCAAAACTCCGATACAGACGAAAAACTCAGCAGAGGAAGCATGGTCTCCGGTCAGGAAGTAATCGGTGGTGGTGGTCTGGTTGATTTTACAGTCAGGGACTTTGTAGGGATGCTGTGCCAAGCTGTGCACATACAGAGAGAACATTTCAAATTATAATCATCTTAAACGTAAGAACCCTCTCCTGTAAGATGGTTTCTACGTGTTACAGCTGCTTGTGTTTGCTCACACTCACCTAAACGGGTAGTTAAATTTTGCGTCTACTTCATTGTGACTTCCATGGCACACGATATTGATGCTGGTTGTACCACTGTAACCTCCAGCTGTAGCAAAGGCAAATATGGAAAACACCTGCAGCCACGGACGCAAGATAAGAGGAGACACTGTTGGCAAATGAGGATGTTCTGGAGAGAGTCCTGGTCACACAGTCACACGCACATACACATACTTCCTTATAGAATTATTGAAGCACACATCCGATAGAGGAAGTCTTACTCACAGGATGCCAAAACTGTGAATATTGTACAGAGTTAACAGCAAAACTGAGCTCTTGAAATCATACAGAAGTAGCTACATAATAAGAAAGTGGACTGAATTATATGCAGAAAAATGGTAAGATAAGAAAAGCCTTTACTAAGGGGGGATTTGCAGTGTTACAGCAGCAATCAAATGTCGGGTTATTTGTTGAAAAATTAAAATATACAAGCAAATATACACAATTACTGTTAATATTGTTCAGATTCTTCTATATGTAGAAAACCAGATATTGCAGATTCCATTAAACGTGGAAAATAACAATCATTGCGTAAGACTATTTCATAAGCAGGAAAACGCTGATTTTGCACAGACTTTTCCGTGAGTAGACCGAATTGATACTGCACACTCATTGTACATGCGAAAGAAACGGACATTGTACAACGCCTTTTAAGATGCACAAAATGTGCATGGTGCAAAGGTTTGAATGCATTTAAGTTGCACCAGAGCGAAATATGCCAGTTCTTCTAACCAATAGAAATGTTTTTGTGCATTTCTTTTCCCCCTGAAAAAAAAAAAAACAATGCTGCAGTTTGTACCTTATGCTTGCAGCCTCTACCTTACACGTGTATCATGGTCTAAATTCAACATAATATTCAGCTGCTGGTCTAAACTAGTGAAAAAAACATAATGAGATGATGAGACAAAATGATTCAATAGAAATTCTTTCACCTCTTTTATAAATAGTCTCACATGGGCAGCAGAAATATTTTCCCAAATGAACCATGAAGGAAAACGTATTCATGGCAACATCACATTTTGATGCATTTTGTATGTTTGTAGAACTGGATTTTGTCTACTGTTTACACAATAAAAGCACTTAAAAGTATTTTATATTAATTGAGAATCTTGTTATGGAGACACTCATAAGCTTTTAAAGAAACTGCTGAACAGGATTAATGGAACTCAGTGGTGACATCTGAACTTCATTTTGGATGCCAAGCAAACTGAGGGTAACATTTTGACTGCTGTTATTTCCTGTCTTGACAACTTAAATGTCAGTACCCTCTGAAATGTGTATATAAATTAATAAGATTAACCCTCCTATTACCTTCAAAGTTACAGACATCTTTTATCCTTTCATCATTTCATTTATCCTTGGTTCAATCTGACTCCACCAATTAAAACCTCCAGAAAATATCAGAATTTATTTAAAACTGTTACCCAAGTTTATGTGTAAATAGCCCTTTAAATAAAACTGAAAAAATTATGTCAGTGACTTATTTATAAATGTTAATGGGGTCCAACTGACCCCAAAGATAACAGAAGGGTTAATACCACAAATAATAGAATAGCATTTATCAACAAAAAATGGCAGCTAATGCCGTTTGTCATCATAATGTTTAATTCTTCAGCTTTAGTGAGAACACAAAAACACGACCTTCAACCTGGAAGTAAAGGCCTTACATGAAATAAATATTGCACTATTTGGGTAGAAACACCACAGAGAATATAAACCGTAAGACCTACTTCTGTAAAACAGAGCATGCTAACGCCCATTAGCTTACAGTTTAAGTGGCACAACTAGCTCGTTACAGGCTGACATGTTGACGTGCTAACCTGACTGATAGGACCTGGAAACCGCATACCAGCTCAACACACGAGTTACACAGCTCGTCTAGGAATGTAGCGGGTCACAAGACAAACCATACAATCAATTAGCAAGGGATGGACAGCCCGTATGTATAAAACATACCCTGCCATAGGCCATATGGTAAGAAAGGGGGAAAAAAAAAAAAAAAAAAAGTTGGAAAAACTTACCCATTCTAGCAAACGGATAAACGCCAAAGGCTCTTTCAGCGGCCCCAAGTCGAGACTGAATCCAGAAGTCATCACTTTCTGGTGATAAATCAAGATTTACTGTGAGAAGGGAGCCGTTATGCCACTGAGCAGGACGCACGCGAGTTAAGGTGTGTTTGCTCATAAAACTGTCCGCTTATTTTGCGTCATTTATTGCCGTGTGCGTCGTTACCTGGGCGACGGATTCCATCGTCTCTCCGGAGGAAAAGCGCGCGTTTTAGTGTCCAGAAGTTGTGTCTCCTTCTCTGGGTCGTGTTTTCTCGCAGCTCTTTCCGAGGCTCCTCCGTCTTGTCAAACTTTTCAACAACTTCACCGAATCGCAGCTGATGACACGTGACCACGGAGGTGCGGGTCCAGAGGGAGGCGCTGCTGGGACACGCAGCTGCAAGCAAACATCATCCTGTACTAACAGTGAGCAAGCGATCAGCGCAATGAAACCTCTACGTTCTACCTGGTGCCTTAGCTACTTTGCAGAATGCATACAGAGTACTCACACATACTGAGGCAACAAGTATCAGCACAGAAGAACAGAACAAATGAGGTTATGAAGAGAAAAGATCTATATTTAAAAAGCATATGTCATATTTATAGTGCAAAATCTTGCACCATTGCTCCATCATACCATCTTGCACCTTGCATGTACAGCTTATTGATTAAAAGATGCAGTCATGGAAGCATTATTCAGAACCTTTATGCAATAGCACCAAAAGGCCATAATAAAAATAATACTAATGATAATAGTAACAACCAATCTACAGAATGCAGATTCATTGTACAGAAAGCTATATAAAAAAGAAGAATGTGTTATCTATAGGTCAAAAAAATAAGATCTGCTCATAGATACTTTATAAAAAAAACTATTAAAAGCAGCAGTAGACCTCCCCGAATATGTACATTTAACTGACGTACAGAGGCAATGATAATAAAAATATACTTAGGTATTGTAAAAGTACACATTTTACAGAAAGGCCCCTTTCAGAGTATACATGAGGACACAATACTCATACTAATAGCAATAAAAATAATAATAAAAACTATCTTTCTACCTTATTATTTTTATTATTATGTATTTATTTTATCTTATCTTTTTACTTCCTGCTGTTATATTGATGAATGGTTGAATGCTAAACACTTTTTTGCCTCTTGTCTTTTTTGTCTTTTTTTCCCCTTTCTTATCACTTGATCAAGTACCTGCATGCCTGTCACATTCAGAGTGTATTTTGTTATGGATGCATGTGTTTCTGCAAAACAAATCTACCCACAGCTAAAAGTAACCTTACCACCATGGTTAACCTATTTAAAGAACTCACTTATTCATTCAGACACCCTAAATTTCATGTGCTCATACATACTAAGGTAACAAACATATACACACAAGAACAGTGCAAAAAATATGTACTTATTAACAGTATGCAAAAGGTTATGGTTAAAACCTTAAATACACATTTGTCTTACTAAATTAAATATTAGGGTTAAAGGGTGGGGTGAGCGTAATCAGAGATCTACCAGAGAGAAAGAGGCAACAAATGAAAGAACAATAAACACATCAACTGGACCAGTAGCACCAGATCAGACCAGTGTAGTTCCAGAATCAGAAATACAGAGATATTGGACAAAGTTTAAAGTACGGGAATCACAAATAGTGATTCAGAGGAGCACACTATTTCTGCAAAAGCATGGTCACCTTGAAATTATATCAGCTGGAAGGGCCCCACCAGAAGCTAGTGGCTCACATGGGGTCATGCTACCTTGCTTGGGGTCAGACACTGACAGACTTTAAAACTGATCAGCACAATTAATATTAAATCGAACAGGGAGCCAATGGAGAGAAGCAGGACTGGGGGGATTTGATATCATCTGCTAAAACCAGAAAGAAACCAAACAGCTGCACTCTGAACTAGTTGGAGGGAAAATAGTGACCTTTGGCTTGAAAAGTCATGAATTAATTAAGAAATAAATTCTCTTCTCTTGAACCTTATCACAGCTTCATTTGCTTTTAATTGTTTGCACGTGTACCATATGCTCTCAGTATACACACCAACCCACTAGTGTGCAGGCTGAGTAACAGGCTATTAGTATTCCACCATTCTTTGCACTGCATGTACAACAGACCTGTGTTAATAGTTAAACCTGGATAAAGGCAGTTCATTCTTCAGTCCTTGTCTCTATGTGTTTAAGCTTGCTGATATTTGGCTTGATATCTTTGTTAAGCTATTTGTCTGCATCTGCACAGATATATGAACAAACTCATGTTACTGTGCTGTACTCTGTAGATTTTGATTTACTTTAAGTGGCTCCTGTTTGAAATTTCAAGAAATTTAGCAACCCTTTTGTATTTTAATTTAATTTAATTTAATTTAATTTTACACATCTCTCTTTCCCTTGACTGTCCCTAGCAAGACCCTTAGACTGCTCCACAGTATATTTTAATTTTTAAAAATGTTTTTATTTAGACTTTCTAGTATATTTATATACTTATTTTGTCACAGAACTTTAATTAAATTTCCTCTTTTTATTGTTGAGTGTGATGCTATACCGTATTACCTCATGATTCACCCTTGACATTTTAAATGTTATCGCCTTCTATTCTTTACTTTGCTTTTGGAGGGAGGTATTATACTGAACATATTTACTCAAACTGGTGCCTCCAGTATTTGTTCTGTATCTATTTGTTTGTTCATTATGGAAAACAATGCAAATGCATGTAAAAAAAAAAAAAAAAAAATCCACAATGCAGCTGAGCACTACACAAGAGTGAATTACCAGCCAGAGAAAGCGAGCAGCAGCAGCCATGATCATCTCCATGGCTGCAAAAGCCCCAGAGTCACTGCAGGTCAGTTAGCTGCATACAATTTAATTAGGTGGAATTTTTTTAGAAGAAGAATTTGTGATATCAAGGGACACTAAGTAGAGTCATGCAGCATTACCTAATCTTGCCTCCCAATGTTTTCCAAGGGATCATAGTCATTATTGTGTAAACTATGTTTACATAGGGCCATTCCCTGTAAAAACATTTGCATGCTCAAATGACCATCGCCTAGGTTCAAGACATTTGCAAGCCCAGGAGCACTGGGCTATTTCAGGTTTAACCTTATTTTCTACATAATGAACTTTGGATGTGGCAGAGTACGTGCACAGAGGGCAGGAGTAGAGGCTCTACAACATTTTTTCTTTTTAACTTTGTGACCACAGGAACAGGTTAATCTGGTTCCAAATGACAAAAAGCTATTTTTTGGGGGGGAATGAATAAAACAGACAAACAAAAAAGTGCTGACAATTATTCAGACACTGATTAAGTCTTACTCTAAAAACAAAGTCACCTCTTAATCTCACAGGTAGATTCTAAAAAACAATTTAATGCCAGCAAACAGTGACTATTAATATGTTTATAAGGATATTGTAGAAGACTCCTGTGTGTCCTGTGCGTTACAGTTTGCATAGTGACAAAATGCTCCTGCAGTGTACAGTGAATGCAACTATTTTTCACTAGAGGTCGCCATTTCTGCAGACAATGTTTGAGCATTATCAAACCAAGCCTTTTTATGCAAAGCAAGCCATGTGCTTCCCATGACTCCCATCAGTGTGGGCTGAACTCACTAACACACAGGCTCCATGTCATTCCCTCAGCGGGTCAATGGACGGGCTTGTTCCTGTGCTTGGTAAGCCGCCAGATTCAGCTGCACTTGGTTCCATCCCTCAAGTTGCCCATCTTCCCTTCAGCACACCGAACAGCCAGACGGGAAGATTTGGCTTCTTGCAGAAAGGCAAGGTTCTCATTTTAACAGAGCACATCTCGAAGGAATAAGAGTGGCTTTGTTCTCCACCTTGCAATAGTTGACTAGGCTGCCTGGGGGGGGAGGGGCTGCAGCTCCATTGTACAGTCCCTGCGTAGAGGAATGCTACTCCACAGATCAGATTGTTTGGTTTCCTGAGTGAATCTGGGAATCAAGTAATACACAAGCAAGACCTAATAAACACAGGACGTTTCTGATGACCCCGAGGCACATTTGAAAGTGGCTAAGTTGTAGATTTGAAAGGTTGCAAGGCTTTTTATAAACCACTGAAACTTGTTCATCAGCTCTGTATTTTTGAGTGTGATGAGATGACACCTTTATTGTTGATGCAGGCTTGCAAACCTGTTAGACTGGTTGCACCACACCAACAGCTAAACACAAGGGTTATCAAATACTCAGCATGACTTTCTGATCTGGTTCTCCCATCTCTTGCCAGCAGTTTCCGTCTACTGTGACAGGGCAGAAATGCTTAACGCTACACAACAGGTTTGCAAAAGAAAGAAAAACTAAAACTTCACGCTGACTGAAGGGAATCACAGTTTCTGGTGTTTAGTTTGAATTGCATTCCTGCAGGTCAATGGCAGTGAGGGGTAAAGATATTTCTGCTGCAACACATGACCAGCAGTCATGGGTTTGCTATGACCCAGTGTCTCATCACATGCACAAAATTAATCAATACAATATGACTCGGTGCGATATACAGGCCGTACTCTAATTAGTTTACAGAAGATCATATGATTGAAAGATTCATTTTCTTTTTTGGCCAAGTCTCTCGAAACTATGATGAGCAGGATCACAAGCTCATACCTCAGCTATTTCAAACCTGAGTCTGAGAAATGAGACTGGAGAGCAGAGACATAAATTAAAACTGAATCGAATAAACTGTTTACGAGGGATTTCCAGTCACTAATTATTTGTCACAACGATGTTTTTTGCCTCAGTCTTTGTTTTTTTCTTTTTCCAAAGTTATTCTATTACAAACACAGGACGGTGTGCACAGGATTTAAGTTCATCGATTGTGAGGAGATTCCACTGGTGAAGAGATTCAGCGTGATTTAATCTCTTGTTTGAGCTTCTCCCTGACAAAATGACTTTGGATAAAATTGTTGGTACCCCTCGGTTAATGAAAGAAAAACCCACAATGGTCACAGAAATAACTTGAATCTGTAATAATAATAATAAATAAAAATTCTATGAAAATTAACCAGTGTTAATCAGACATTGCTTTTGACCAGTGGTTTAACAGAATTATTTCAAAAAAATAAACTCATGAAACAGGCCTGGACAAAAATGATGGTACCCTTAACTTAATATTTTGTTGCACAACCTTTGAGAAAATCACTGCAATCAAACGATTTCTGTAACTGTCAGTGAGACTTCTGCACCTCTCAGCAGGTATTCTGGTCCACTCCTCATGAGCAGACTGCTCCAGTTGTGTCAGGTTTGAAGGGTGCCTTCTCCAGATGGCATGTTTCAGCTCCTTCCACAGATGTTCAGTAGGATTTAGATCAGGGCTCATAGAAGGCCACTTCAGAATAGTCCAATGTTTTCCTCTTAGCCATTCTTGGGTGTTTGTAGCTGTGTGTTTTGGGTCATTGTTCTGTTGCAAGACCCATGACCTGCGACTGAGACCAAGCTTTCTGACACTGGGCAGCACATTTCTCTCTAGAACACCTTGATAGTCTTGAGATTTCATTGTACCCTGCACAGATTGAAGACACCCTGTGCCAGATGCAGCAAAGCAGCCCCAGAACATAACAGAGCCTCCTCCATGTTTGACAGTAGGGACAGTGTTCTTTTCTTGATATGCTTCATTTTTGCATCTGTGAACATAGAGCTGATGTGCCTTGCCATAAAGTTCCAGTTTTGTCTCGTCTGTACATAGGACATTCTTCCAGAAGCTTTGTGGCTTGTCAACATGCAGTTTGGCAAATTCCAGTCTGACTTTTTTATGATTAGTTTTCAACAATGGTGTCCTCCTTGGTCGTCTCCCATGAAGTCCACTTTGGCTCAGACAATGACGGATGGTACGATCTGACACTGATGTACCTTGACCTTGGAGTTCACCTTTAATGTCTGTAGAGGTTGTTCTGGGCTCTTTTGTTACCATTCGTATTAACCGTCTCTTCCATTTGTCATCAATTTTCCTCCTGAGGCCACGTTCAGGGAGGTTGGCTACAGTCCTATGGATCTTACATTTCTGGATAATATGTTCAACTGTAGTCACAGGAACATCAAGCTGCTTGGAGATGGTCTTACAGCCTTTACCTTTAACATGCTTGTCTATCGTTTTCTTTCTAATCTCCTGAGAAAACTCTCTCCTTCGCTTCCTCTGGTCCATGTTCAGTGTGGTACACACCATGTCACCAAACAGCACAGTGACGACTTGTAATCCTATAAATAGGCCGACTGACTGATTACAAGTTTGTAGACACCTGTGATGCTAATTAGAGGACACACCTTGATTGAGCGTGTCCTTATGGTCACATTATTTTCAGTCTTTTCCAGGGGTACCATCATTTTTGTCCAGGCCTGTTTCATGAGTTTATTTTTTGCTTGGGTCAGTTCAAAAGCAATGTATGATTTTCATTGCTTAATTTTCAGATTTTTAAAAATTTATTATTGCTTTTGTCAGATTCAAGTTATTTCTGTGACCGTTGTGAGTTTTTTTTTTTTTTTTCATTAACCGAGGAGTGCCAGCAATTTTGTCCATGTGTGTATACCGGTGAAGAAATGGCAGTTTCACACAAGACATGGTACATGATATACATGTATGGATTGTTATTGCACAGATTCAAAGGAAACAAAAATTTAAAAATGTATATCATTGTATAATTGCCATGCCTCTGAATTCAGGGCATACATGCTGTTGTAGGGAAATCTGCCACTTTTTTTTTTTATTTGCGAAGGCAAATATTGTTTCCAATCATATTCAACCTGGTGAATTGTGTGCTTGGATATGCAGAATTCAATATAAGTGGAATAAATTTCATTATTTCACAAAACCTACAAATCACACACATCAAACAACAAAAAGCAAAAATGCCTGATTCCTTTTCTTGTCAACTCACAATTCATTTTTAATGATAGAACCAATTTATTATAAAGCAAAAAAAGAAAACCTAATATGTTTAAAGCTATGTTTAATTGTGACTAAACACTGAATAAAAATGCAAATGTTCCTTTTTTAGATTAACTTCTGTCTGGATGGAGTTGCATGATAGTATTGCACAACCTACCTTGACAGCCTTTGACAGCTAATTATGCAGCTCTTCTGTTGGCCCCGCCTCTAAATAATCGAACCAATCATAAAAGAGGATAGGCGGACCAGCCAATCAGAGCGCCCCTCTTTGAGTGGAGCGTTACGACCTGCAGACACAATTTCTGTGGCCGATTTTATTACACTGTATCATGTTGGCTAAAGGAGTTGCACCGCGAATAATTGCTGCTAAACACACCCGGTAAATTGTATAATTGCGATTTTTTTTCTCCCTCCTGTTTTTGATTTTTATTTTCGCTGCTGCGCGGTGAAACAGTCGGAGATTTGAGGAGGCTCCGTGTTTTTAAAGCCCGAAATAGTCGCTGTCAGGAGGACTAGTGTTTTGTTGATGTCATCCGCGGCAGAGCGGTAGCGACCTTCAATTTGTAGGCAAGACCGGGATAAACAAAGACTCGCTTTTTGTGTGTGTGTGTCTTTTGTTTTTGTGTTGTCAGTCAGTGACACCAGCGGCGAGGATGGGACTTTTGCTGCGCGGTATCCTGCTGTTATCGGCTTGCACTTTCACAGCCGGCTCGGATTTTCAGCTGGGATCCAAACCCTCCGGACAGTCGGTGTTCGTCAGGCAGTCAAACAGTGAGGAGAGAGCGGCGAAAATCGCGAAGAGGTCCCTCCTGCCTGCGTGGCTGGCTCCATCACCGAACCACAAGATAAAACGGAGAAGCGCCGAGCAGGGCGACTCGTGCCAGGTTCTGCAAGGATATAACACCAAGTTAGCAGACAACACCCACGGTGTAAGTTACCGACTGAGCTCCTGTTACACTTAGCACGTCTGACAATCACACGAACCCGGAGAAGATGATGCGCAGGTGCTAACCAGGTGACCGAATAGGCCCGATGAGCTATTCAGTGTTACCAGAAACCTCCTGATGGGCTGATTCCATTCACCTGTAAGCCCTCAAGTCCAGGTTAGCTGCTAGATGGAGGATATCACATAAAATACCTTCATGCATTGTCACAGAAATACATTTTTTTTTGCCATGATTTCTTTTGGTGCAAGTACATTTTGGTGCAGTGAAGTACAATGCAGCCATTTACTTCTCCATAGGTTGCACTAATGGCTATGACCTATATTTCATTCCTCTCAAGCATGCAGCTGTGTTCTGCATTTAACTCTCATACTTCTCTCTGCCTCGCCCGGAGTGGATCTGCCTGGATGTTGATAGGAAAATTGGCCCAGGGGAATCCATGTGACTGGCTGTGTGGTAGCTATTTTGTAATTAAAAGTTGTGTTTGTGTGGCAGTGAAGCCAAGTTAGCGAGCAGGAAGTCAGAGAGGAAACAAGCGCCACAGTAGTTTGTTGTTTCACTCAAGGAAGCACCTGAATTAACGCAGATCATAAAATGTCTGCGTAACTGCATAATGCTCTCCACAGAACAAGCAGAAAACTGACTTCAACAGAGTCCTGCACTGCTTATTTGCGTACCTCCTCGCTGCCATGTGATCAACTTTGCATTGCAGTCTTTGTATACTTGGCCTCAGTAATCTGAGGTCGACAAAATTCCTAGAGGCTCAGCCCGCTTGTTCCTCTGAGGTTACTGGTGCAGGTCCCACTGGTGCTGTAGCTGCTTACAGGATGAGCTGCTAAAAGTGATCTGCCTTCAACAGTTTGTGTGAACAATCATGGGGCACTGAATGTTCCTTGACGTGACGCAGTCAGAGTCTCTGACAGTGAAAGTAAAAGTGTTTCTGTTGAAGCCACTCTGCTAAATTGACTTGTTCTGCACAAAATTACATTCTGAAAATCAAATTAGTCAACTTGGGATGTTCAGTAGTTGCATTCAGATGTCTCCTGGGTTGAGGCCCGGTGTTTGCTGAACTGCTTGTCTGTTGTGATAAGTAGTGCCTCACTTCGCACACTTTGTTAGCTATGCTTGAGCACACGATAAAGGGCGACACGCTGCCAGCCAAAGCAAAAAAATACGCCGTCTGGAGGCAAAATTCACAGATAGGATTTGATTACAGTTAAGAATTGTGTCATTAGTTTGTCCCTTTTTGTCAGATAGGCTTAACTCATTCACACAGTTGTGCAGACACACTCCTTCTCAGAGGTTTTAATGTGTTTATTGAATGTTTTACATAAATTAACAGGATTTTTTTTTTATTCCTCAGTTTACATTCAATGACCTGAGCGGCTCGGTGTCGCTGGCCTGGGTTGGAGATGGCACAGGGGTGAGTGTTATACTTGCGGTCTTGTTCCTCCTCTCTCGAACAAACTTGGCTGGAATATTCAGTGAACTGATTGTAAATGACAGCGTAGTCTGTCTTCATAGATTACATATCAAAATCCTTCGTATCAGGCGCTCATTCACATTATTAAGAGATACATCCTCAAGCCGAACCTTTACTCTTTGCAGGTCATCCTGGCTTTGACGACTTTTCAGGTGCCCTTCTTCATGATAAGACTCGGACAGTCCAAACTGTACCGAAGGTAAGCCTCAGGATCTCGCCTGTTAGAAAAAAGTTCATAGTTGGAATTTGATTTCCTGTTAATTTGACTAAAACTACTTCCCTGCCAGTGAGAACTACGGGAAGTCATTTCAAGATGTGACCAACCTCATCAACAACACCTTCATCAGATCGGAGTATGGTATTGCAATCGGCCCCGAGAACTCAGGGAGGGTAAGACATGTTCCTGATCAAGTTCTCGCCACATTTACTTCAAGCAGTCACCTAGATTTCTGCAGCACTTCTATGATGTTTGCTGGTTGTAAAGAACCTTTGCGGACTTTGGCTTGCAGGTGATTCTGACAGGTGAAGTGTCCGGAGGTCACGATTCTCGGATATTTGTCTCTGATGACTTCGGAAAGAGTTTCACCAGCCGGGACTTGCCTTTCGTCCCCTTGATGCAGATGGTGTACAACCCTGAGAGTTCCAATGTGCTGGTAGTCCTCAGCGCCAGCGTAAGTAGTGAATGTTAAAGATTGAAGATTGTGTTGAAAAGATGTTTTGAATTGTGCATACACATATCACATCAGTATATCAGGTAATTACTTTAAGTGGGCGAGCAACCCGAGTAGTGTTTAGTGTTTGTGAGCAGGTTTAGTATGTCACACCCAGTGTGACCCATGTAAACAGTGGGGTCATTGCAGGTGAACTGTGAGTTAATATTTAATATTTTTCCCACTCTCAGAATGAACTGTGGCTGTCTGAGGACTTTGGCACCAACTGGAAAAAGATCCACACCATGGTGTGTCTGGTGAAATGGTAAGAGACAACACAAACTCAGAGGCTCAGATATTCTTATTCATAAGATATTCATTCAGATATCTCTTATTCAGTATTCCCACGTCTTCAACAAGATTAGGGAGTTATGAATAACCTCATTCCCCTAATGGTCTGGCATGTAGCAAAGAAATGATAGTCGAGAGGTGATACACGATCTGTCCTTTTTTCAAACGTATGACTTGATAAAAATTTGGCTAACTTGTTCTCCTCTGTTGATACTTAAGTTCAGCAAAGAAGAGCAAAGTAGGGTGCAGGATTTTAGCTTACAAGACAAAATTGTTTCAAGTTTTTCTCCAAGACTTGTTGTTGCTGCCCCTTTGCCAAACAGGCAGTAAATGTGGATTGCAGTCAATGACTGTTTAACTCGCTGTGTTGTGGCTAAGCCCTCTCGACACTCCTGTTTTTTTTTTTTTTTTGCATGCACTTCCTTGTATGTGTCACGTTTCAACCGTTGCACCTGTAAATAGCTTTTACTTTGTGTTTTAAGGCCATGTTGTCAAGGTCACAGTGTCTAAGAGAAACCTATGTACAAAAACAGTAGTCCTTAATCATTACCTTTTATTACCATCCCAAAAGACGCTGATTCGAACAGGCTGCAGGAAAATGGGTCATATTAAACTAGGGCAGGAGTTTTCTGAAGACAAAACACAACACTCAAAAGAAAGTACATATTTAGGAAGGGCTGGGTGTATTTGATAAGCCATGTCATGTGACTTTCACAGGGAAGCAAAGCCCACAGTATTACAGGAATAGATTATAAATGTATAAAAAACTCCTGGATGAGACCTGATTTCCTCCTTGATGTAGGAATGCTCCTCAGCATTTCCCCACCCTGCTTTTGTTGTTTGCTCAGACATAAGCACACTATCACATCCTTATCAACAAAGCCGTCTACATCTGTTTTCCTCACATATGCTCGATTCTGTGCAATTTCTCCATACTGTCCTCTCTGCTTCTAGGGGAAGGAAAAATACCATCTTCTTTACTGCCAGCATCAACGGATCGTGCAGTAAGTGATCCTTTTTCTGTGCAAAACTGAAATGAAGCCACGCACCAAATCAACACAGATGCACTTTTACCTCTTTGAGGAGTAGTATATGAAGCATAATATATATTTTAATTCTGTTAGCGCATTTTACAAGATTGCAATTTAAACGCATAGAAAAAAAGATTAAAATGAAAATTGGCCTCAATATAAAAGACAATCCTCACCAGATGAAGCAAAGTATTAATATTGTGTACTTTATTTTTGTGATTTAGTCTTTGCGCCTCTTAAATACTCATGCAACTATTAGTTATGCACAATTTGGGATTTTCTTCCAGGTGATCGGGGAATGTTGGAACTGAGGAGGACGACTGACTATGGTAACACTATCAAGACTGTCGCCAGTAAGATCTACTCCTTTGGCCTCGGTGGACGCTTCCTCTTTGCCTCTGTAATGACGGGCAAGGTCAGTACGTAGGAGATTCAAATCGAGCGGATCTAGAGACAAGAATAGGCAAATTATTGATTGTTTAGACCTTCGTGTTTGTAAGAAATGTCAGTTTGTAGTGTTAGTATATTTACAATGGATATTCTGTGTAACACTGTGAGCGGTGTGAAAGAGAACATTAGAATGGCACATCATGAAAAGCATGTTCCTTTTTCCTCCTCTGTACGGGCCTTATTTACTGAATTCGCCAGCCTTCATATTTGAATAGCTTGGTAAATGGTAAACCCCTGGCTAGCTTCTGTAGACATGATTATACTGACAACAGTGGTGGCTGGTGAAAATGTTTGCTGGGAGGGCGCAGTCTGCAAATGACCTTTTATTTTTAATTAGACTATGAGTAACAATAGGCACAACTGTTTACAGGAATGCAAATGGTTTACCTTTGGAGGATGTTCTAATCATAATCTAATTTAACTTTATCAAGACTTACCAGAACTAAATTTCAAAACCATTCATCAAACTTTCGTCAATGTTTACAGGATCTGTACAAATTCAAAACACACAACATATTTAATGAAAATAACATTATTCAGGGCTCCAGACGAACTTTTTCACTGGTAGCACCGGTATGACCCACTTTCTCTTTGTGTCGGACCTCCCACCTTGTCAAAGGCAAAACATATGATTGGCTGAACATTTTCTTAGATGCTACAATTTACTGATGCTCCCTGAACGTCCCACATAGCAGGCTGTAGATGCTGCTGTGGTGTGCTCAGACAGATGTGCGACCAAAAATGACTTTAAAAATAATAAACTAGGGCGTTCTAATGTCAGATTTGTCTGAGATGAAACTGAGTTATATATATATATATATATATGTACAATCAAGGTAATTTGCACAAGGTGATACGACTCCAAACTGGGCCAACCTGTTCTCATTTCTGTTTTTCTGTCTTTTTCTTCCCTCCCTGCCCTTCTCTCTGCAGGGCACCCTGAGGATGATCCATGTGTCAGTGGATCAGGGAGAGAGTTGGAACATGGCCCAGCTGCCTCCCGTCGGTCACGAGCAGTTCTACTCGATCCTTGCGGCGAATGACGAAATGGTCTTCATGCATGTCGATGAACCAGGAGGTCAGTCCACGCAGCAACTCCATCCCTTTATTTACCGTTATTGTATAAAGAAATAAAATAAAATTTAACAGGTGCAGACAGACACTGTCGTGGACTATTGAATACAAAGGCGGTTAATTACTGGTGTTGTCAGGTTATGTAAATGAAACTTTGGGACTTGCAGTACAGGCTGTACGTATGTAAAACTTGAAAAACCTGAACCAAACATATGCCGAGCCAAAGATGTAAACGTAGTCAGGGATATTTTGTTAAACTTAATTCTTTTAAAATAGAAAATAAGTATTTGTTGTTCAAACACACAACTCTACAAAACAATGGATGTCATGCAACAGCCACGTTTGTACTGTATTGGAAGTAATAATGGGCAGATGGAGAGTGGGGTCATAGGCCAGAAATCACACGTCAGTAATGAGTCACACATCTGCGACTTACAGTTAATGAGGTTGTCAATGCTGGCTTGACAAACTTGGTGGAAATTTTAGGGGACAGGACACGTCCACTCAGAGCTGTCTGAAACAATTTCTTTGACAACAAATGGTGGAGTTGTGGACATTCAAGTGCCTGACTGTGGCGCTAACTAACATGCCAGCATCCAGCCAGTTCTCTTCTTTCTTTTGTCATCTGTGGCATTGTGTTGTTTGAACGACGCTGCATTTTAAGGTGTCGTTTTATAGCCACTGCTCAAAGACGCGTCTGTGTGCTGATCACACCATCTGATCATAGTCTTTTAAAGGCACACCTGACTAAGGTGTGGATTAACCTGAGCGGTGGTTGAGAATTTGTCACCAGTTGTGCAGCACCTTCGAACACTTATTTAACTCGAACCAGAACAACAGAAGTGAGCTTTATAACTTTTTCTCTATGTCCGAAAAGGAGAACATTTGCGTGCTGCATTTATACTTCTGTTCAGTGTAAATTAGATTAGATTCACAAGCTTTTCATGTGTTCATTTTGCAACTTTTTACACATCAAAAAGAGGAACTGTACTTGCCATCGATGTAGAAAGGAAGGACTATGGAGCTCACAACTGTATATGCAATTAGAGGACGATTACCAAACATTTGTGGCTGACCTCAATAATGCTCTTTTGCCTGAGGGGGAGTTTCGTCTCAAATATTTGTGTGTCCACATACTTTTGGCAAAATTGTGAAATCAGTCACAAGCGCTGAATTTTATTTACAATATGTCTCATCCTATTCTCCCCCCGCCCCCACAGATACAGGATTTGGTACAATTTATGCATCAGATGACCGAGGCACCGTGTACTCAAAGTCACTGGAGCGCCACCTTTATACCACCACGGGGGGTGACACAGACTTCACCAACGTCACATCCCTGCGAGGAGTGTTCATCACCAGCGTCCTGGCTGAAGGTAGCTCTATTCATGTGTCTGCGCTCAGACAAAAGAGTAACAACACATGACTGTACTCAAATTCCCACAGAAACGCACACACGTACATATTACTTCTCCATTACATACCAGAGGGAGGGTGTTAGGTAAATATTTAATTAGCTGTTCAGTGTTAGATGTGATGTCTGTCTGAAGGGACTGACTGAATCATAAATGTCTCATATCACTAGCTAAACCTTGCACACAGTATAGATGGTTTCGAAGGTTTCCAGACACACGCTTAGACTAAATTCCAGCTGCCTGTAAATGTCGTGTTCTTGTCTTGTTGTTGTTGCAGATAGCTCTGTGCAGACTGTGGTGTCCTTTGATCAGGGAGGGGAATGGGTTCCTTTGCGTAAACCCGACAACAGCAAGTGCGATGCTACATCCAGGGACCCAGATAAGGTAAAAAAAAAACAAAAAAACAGAGGAACTGGTGTGTCTGGAGAGAAAACGAAGGTAATCTGTCTTAATGAAAACTGTGCGCATCTGCAAGTCACTGTCATGTTGAGTTTGATCTGCAGTCAGTGACAACCAGATGCTAAATCCTGCTTGTGTCTGCGCCTACAGTGCAGTCTCCACATCCACGCCGCCTACAGCACCGCTATGAGGCTCAACGTCCCCATGCTTCCTCTGAGTGAGCCAAACGCTGTCGGTCTCATCTTAGCTCACGGTAATTCCTAAATTAGAGCTTACATACCAATAATATTTTCTAACAATGTTTTTTTGGGGGTAAACGAGAAGTTGCTCATTCTGGATAAACAACAGGTTGTTTTGTGCTCTCTGAACGTTTCTTTCATCAGGAAGTGTCGGCGATGCCATCTCAGTGATGAAGCCTGATGTGTATGTGTCTGATGATGGGGGCTATACCTGGATAAAGGCCCTTGATGGACCCCACCACTATGCTATTCTGGACTCTGGGGGGCTGCTGGTGGCTGTAGAGCATAGCCCAACCCAACCTATCAACCAGCTCAAGTGAGTTGCAGTTAGAGGTACCAAGGAGTTGGGTTTGATGAGTATTTACTTCTTCTGCGGCAGAGAGCTCAGGTTTATCATTTTGTCTACTCGAATATGCGTGTGCATTCCCTGGTGGAAATGCACACGCATATTCTAGTTTCATACCGGACAACCCTGCAGCACGTTTTTTTCACTTTCAGGCTGAAACACTCAGTTTTCGCAGCCTTTATAAGGCCCCTATCTTGCAAAGCTCTGCTCTGATGCTACCCATCTTAACCTCAGATCTTCAAGTATAAGCACAGAGACTAACAGAAGTAGCAGCTGCAAGGAAGCTGCTCCTTCTTTGTTTTAGGGTGTGTCAAACTAGCTGCCGTGCAAGTGTTACGCAAATGTTTGTCGTGGTGATGTAAATAATTAACATAAGAAAATCCTGGGCTTAAAACGAGGCTTTTCAGTAAGGTAAGGAGCAGGGATTTCTGTGGACTTTGTCACTTTGCACACTTTTTCACATGCACAAAACCGCTAAACAACAGGAAAGAAAACAACCCAAAAATGGGCTCTTTAAATGAAAGTCCACTTTGTTCAGCTAGATGTTTTGAGTTATCATAGTAGCAAAAACACAGGTGGTACTAATAACATGAATGATAGTTCAGTTCTGTCCCAGTAAATCATGATAATGTAGCAGTGAGTCAGCCTGAACAATACCAGAGCCTTAAGCCAAAGAAGCTAAATGAAACTTGTCCTTTGTCACTTTATCGCACTGAAAAAAAAAAAAAGAGCAAGTTGTCACTTCAGGAGACGACAGTTAAGTCTGCTGGATTTTTCTTAAGCACTTTTTTAAAGAATTATACACTCCATGAAAACCTTTCCGTTCCTTTTTTTAATAACAGCGTGGCTCCCCTGTTTGTCTTTGTGTCCTGACAGATTTTCTACTGATGAAGGACAGTGCTGGCGTGTGTACAACTTCTCCCAAGAACCCATCTACTTCACCGGGCTGGCATCAGAGCCGGGAGCTCGCTCCATGAATGTCAGTATCTGGGGCTACAGAGAGTCCCTCCTCAGCCAGTACTGGATCTCCGTCACCATCGACTTCAGGGATCTTCTTACCAGAGATTGTGAGTAAATACGATAAAAACCCAACTTCAGAGTGAATTTCCAGATGTTTTGTTTATAGCTTGCACTTTGTTTGACACTATATGCAAACTTCCATCACTTTCAGGTCAAGACGAAGACTATGTGCCGTGGCTGGCCCACTCTGATGACATCAGTGACCCACAGGATGGTTGCATGCTGGGCTACAAAGAGAAGTTCTTGCGCCTCAAAAAGGATTCTGTCTGCTGGAATGGACGCGATTACGAAGTCGACACCGTGCCAACCCCATGTCCGTGCACCCTGGATGACTTCCTGTGGTAAGACTTTTACAATCTAATGACTCCGTGTCATTAAATTGCATGTTGTTAAATAATGTTAAACTTGTTTTTGGTGACGAAGAACAACTCCTTAGGCTTCAGTTGTGGGTGGAGACCAAAGTTTCTGACTGCAATTAGCAAAATTACTACATTTTGATCAAAATCCGTTACAGCAGCTCATGCAAAAATATTAACTATGTATTGGATGCACTCTAAAAAGGAAAATATGGAAATTTGAGGATTGAACATGCCAAACTGCAGTGTAAGAAAATCCTGGAGTGGATTTTTCTTTTATGTAAAAATAAATCGGGGCTTCAAACTCAACTCAAATGTGCTAAAAACTGACCCAAACAACCTGTCATTTACAAGTACAACAAGGAATGCAGATGATTTCTTCCGCACTTTCTTACCATACTTACCACCGTCTGACTCTTTGCAGCGACTTCGGATACTATCGTCAAGAGAACAGCTCAGTGTGTGTGGAGCAGCCGGATCTGCAAGGCACAGTGTTGGAGTTCTGTCTGCACGGCAAAGAGGAGCAACTGCAGACCAGTGGGTAAGGCTCCAACTTCAGCCTCTAAATCCAAGAGATTCCTGCTGGTTATTAAAGTTGGTAAATTATTCAGGTAACATTTACTGGGCTGCTCCTCTCCTTGGATCACCCATGCCACATAACTTGTCTTAACCTGTTTGTAATTATGTATCTGTCTAATAATTATCTTTATTGTGTAGTGTCTTAAGCGGTTTAAGGTTAATTCTTATGCAAAGACTGAGTCATTTTCATTTTCCTGTAGTCCAATTAATTGTTTGCAATATTTAAACGGATATCACTGAATATAGGAATAGGAACGAGACACATTTTGTACAAGGCCGTCACCACTGCTTGATTTATGGTAGAGAGATTAACAGAGGCTCGCCCTCAGTGTTTGTCAGAGAGACTGAGGAAGTCTTTGTCACGCTGAGAGCAGTTAGAGGAAGCAGAAGACGTGAGAGTGAGTCTCATGTTGTGGATGAGTAAGAGTGAATGTTGGCTGAAAGTAAAACCAAAATTTTGTTCTTCTCTTACTGCAGACGCACTAAATGGACAGAAAACTAATAATTGTTACACTAGTTTAGCTATTATTAAGAAAGAAGGTTTGTTGTGACGATGTGTAACTCAAAACAACTATAACATTACAATAAGTATAAAATACCTACTGTGATTTTAGCATTTATCAGAGCCAAAGTAAGCAATCCAAAATGCAAACATTTTATATAGGATATTTTGGCCCCCAAAAAAGTCCATTATTTCCCTGTTTGATCTGAATCTGTATATCAGTCAAGCCAATGCACAAACCTCCAGCTGACAGTCTCTTGTTTCTAGGATCTTAAACTCATCTGTGTGTGCGTTTGATCCACAGCTACAGGAAAATCCCTGGAGACAAATGTGAGGGAGGAACGATGCCTGAGCGTAAAGAGATTGACCTCAGTCAGAGGTGTGTGAGCGACCTGTTGGGCCCAATAATGGTGAGCATCTCTTAACACTCCCTGACGATGTTATAAATGTAAATGTATTCGTGCAAGCATACCTGTTCTTATACTGCCATTTGCTTACTTTTTTGTCTGCTCTTATTTTTACAGATAGACAAGCGCCCCTCCAAGTCTGTGCCCATCGTGATCACAGTCATCATTGTCATGCTGCTGAGTATTGCAGCTGGAGTCGTCTTCGTCAAGAAATACGTCTGTGGTGGCAGGTCAGAGCACACATAATAACTCATCAGTTCACAACCTCATCCAGGAAACACTGTCCAGAGAACACACTTTATTATGTGTGAGGCCCCGTTTACACGTAGCAAAAACTGTGATATTTCAATGCGTCTGGGCCTTTGGTTTACACATAAACGAAGCTACAAGTCACCAGAAACGATCGTATCTGAAAACTCCAGCCACAGTGGAGATTTGGAAGAACTCCGTCTTTACGTTTGCATGTAGACAGGATGAGACGGAGTTTGACGTCACTGTATGCGACAAAAGCGTCATATGTGTGCGACCCACGTTAACAGTTTGGCTACTGTGATAGAAAGTCAATATTTTCAAGTATTTGTACTCTAACACCACATTTAGGAGTAGCTCCACATCTCTGTCCGAACAAACGAACCCTGTGCAATTGTCGTTGAAGTTTTTTTTTTTTTTCCAGGATTTTGATTGGCTAGCATGGCTTTATGCTTCTCGTTACACTGCCCCCTATAGGTGTGGCATGCTCATAGCAGCGCTTAACGACACGTTCATGCGGGTTTGCGTAAACAAAGATTTTTTTGAAAACAATCTGGTGTGAACAATGTTGTTTTTGAAAACGTAGATCCGTTTTTGTAAATACCCGGCTATGTGTAAACGTGGCCTAAGATTAAATCATCATCTCTTAAAGGTGTTGTGTTTGTGTTGGACACTTTTGAAAAGATTTTGAGTGATCTGACATTGTTCTGAATGCGTCCTGCAGGTTCTTGGTTCACAGGTACTCTGTGCTGCAGCAGCATGTGGAGGACAATGCAGCCGATGGGATGGACGAGCCGCTGGAGACCAACCACTCTCACAACGGCAAAATCGAGTTTCATGACGACTCAGATGAGGTACAGTGGATATGTTTTGTTCCCCCATGCAGAAACACGAGCATCAGGTTTTCTTTAAAGACTGACCCCACGTAGCTAAAGCCAAACAACTTAGAATTCTTTCACAAAAGAAAATCATCATTACTCTTAATTCAACAGCGTTTATCTGAGAATAGATGAAAAGTTTGGAATTAAGAGGAAAATGTGGTTTGGCTCCAGCTTCTGAACATAAAAGTTAGTGTAAGGCCATATTAAACAATAGGAGTCCTACATAAAATCCTAAAACAAAGACTAATTAAAGCCTTGACCTTGCTGACCGTAGAAGACCTGCAGTGAGCCTACTTCCCATTTTCAATTAAGTTGTTATATATATTTTTCTACTTGCTCCCAAAACTGTTCCACACTGCCATGGTTGCAGTTTAAAGAACGAGGCTAAAATAGTCTTACACGTCATAAGAACACATCTCATCAACACATTGATTTAAACTGTGGTTGTTAGTGAAGCCAGATGACAATAAGATATCCTGGGTATTTTGAACTTACTTTGGAGTACAAGTCCCTGGTTGAAGTAAAGAAAACAGTGTCTGTTTTTGTTAACACAAAGCAGACTTCACCCAGCATCCCTCTAGCATTGTAATCTAACACCAACCCTACAAAAGTGACCTGGGAAAGCCAACATAGGTCTTAATCGTGTTCACATGGAAAAGGCATTTAATAATTTAGCCTTCTTATTGTGAACAGAATCTAGGTCAGTGGACTAACCTAGTTAGGTGTATGTATGTAAACATACCATCATGGTTTCTTGTTTGCTCACCTGTGTTCGTTTTAACCTCACTGGTATGCTCCGTTGTTATCTTTGTGCAGGATCTGCTTGAATAGCTGGCACAACCTGTCATGCAACCAAGCTACTGGTTTCCTGTCCACCCCGTGGCCGGCCGCTGCTCCTGTCACTCTTTGTCTCCAGTTACTTCTTCCTTTCACCTTCTAGTATAAACTTTGGCCTCAGCTACAGACCAAGAGTCTGTGTCACTCTGCTATCATCAGTGAAGTATAATGAATGTAAGGCGGGGCTTCCTGGGACTGACGCCTCAGTCGAGGGAGACTATGAAGGAGGTCTTGTAGTGTTGTGCTTCAGTTGTCGATTCTGTTGAGTGAGTTCGAATCTCAAGGTTATTTATTTTAAGGAATGAAGAACTGAGGCAGTAATTGAAACTGCTGACAGAGTCAGAATAATGGGGTTTGAAGAAAAGCTAGTTGTATAAATCCACCACCACTGCATTATGGGTCCTGCTTCTCCCATCACCTGGGAGTGCTCCTGGAATTACTCCTCATTTCTGTTGAAGATTTTTGTCCTTTTCCTCATGCACTTGTACATAGATCTGTTTTTCTTTGCCATTTTTGATGTGATATCAGTCTGGTAGGTTTTAAAAAAGGTTGCAGGTGGTTGCTGGCTAATACCTCCCCCAGAACGATTGAGTCTTAATCCCAACTTTTAATCAAGTATTTTTGGCCCCAGATGTTCAAGAGAGTATAAGTTTAAGGTTTTTAACCTAACTGATTTGTGAAAAGTTATGTTGTAATCTGTGCTTGGAATACAAGCGTGCAGACTTTTGGTACGCCGTGGCATTGCGATCCATTGTTGAAGTAATAAAACAGAAGTGGAAATGGCAGTTTCCATTCGGTTTGATAGCAATAACATGTTTGGTTTTAGTATATTGTCCATGCACGTTAAACAATTCAATTGGCACAATATCTCCTATCGTCTTCAGTTTGATGAATGGAAATGTCATTGCGCAAAACACAGTATGCGTTAATGTCCAGGCTGGTAAAGTGTGTCTGTTTCAAGACAGGATTTGTTTAAAACCTCGTCTGCAGTAACTAACTGCCTAAAGCACAAGGTCCTTTGTATGCTAAGAGTTTGTAGTTCAACAGTTTTCCTAAACGTGACCGATTGTGATAAGACTAATAATCACTGTAGTCCTATATAGGTCGTGTTTGTAATAATTTGAGCAGTTTTTTACTAACCAGCTTTTAAAATCATGTAAAAACTGACAAATTGTGGTTGAACGATGTCCAGAAATGTCAGAAATAATTCTAGTTTGATAGCAAAAATCTACAGCCGTTTTTTTACGAGACACTCAGATAACCAAATGCGTCAGTAGAATTTGGTGTCGAAACAATAGGAGCAATGCGATAAAATATTCAGCTATGTAAATGTTGTATAGCATAATTACCACTGTAGCCTATTTGAAGACTTAGCAGACACAATTGACTCAGCTTTAGCACCACGCAAGACTGTTTGTTTTTTTTGTTTTTGTTTTTTTTTGGTGTTTAAATTTGAGATGAAGCTAATTCTAAAAGATAACAGGGTTATTGAAAGTTTCTCATTGGTGTCTTTTATAGTGAACTGCTGTTTGTTTCTAATCAATCTCAACAAATCTGTCTTATCATGTGAAGTCTTTTAATTTTTCTTTTAAACATTTGTTGCACAATTATTTGTCCGTCTTGTGTTTTAATATGTCGTTTTCATACCGGTTTAATTTATTTGTGACAAGCTGGTTCAGAGGGCAGTAAACTGGATGCGGTTATACAAGTGCCTGGTGTGAGGATCTGATGTGTGGCCAGCATCTATTTACTGATTATTCTTTATGTCAACCAACGTGTAACCAGTTTAATCCAGTATCTCGGTGACACCCTTGAGTTTGCACTTGTTGCCGAGGATGATTTGTTGAGCAGTAAATGTCTGTTTCATCTGAGCTCCCACTGAACTGCATGTTAACTCTCAGTGGTTCGTAAATTCACACAGAGCTTTGTAAAGAAAATGGCTGACGACAACCTGGTTCCTCTCCCTTCTGGCTGTGATACTTTGACAAGAGAGTCAACTCGAATAAAAAAACACAGAAAAGATACAGGGTCATGATGAAGTTTTACATTGGGAGAGACCTGGTGAGTTCTAATTTAATGACAGTTTATTGCATTACGTGCGGGTACCACATTTTTCTTACGGTTTGAATCTGCTGTATAAATTAAGTCATTGTGATGGTTCTGTAAATATACAAGGTTACACCTTTATATCTGCTACGTTTCTCTTTTTCTGTATATTTGAGGCAATTTTCTTTGGGTTTGCAAATAAATTCTTATGTTCCTCTATTTTTTGTTGCCCGATTCTTTTGTACCATCAACGCTGATGTAGAAATATGAGATTAAATAATGAGCCTTGAGAAAAGCAAAATAGGAAACTGGGTATACAAATCACTTTCACACAGTGGTTTTCGTTGCGGCTTGTCTCAAGGGATCAGTTACCAAAATACATTCTGGTTGTGGGAAAGCTGCAGCAATTATTCCTCAGGCATGAAACTCAGCACTAATTTCATCCGTCATCTGCTTTAACTCACAAAAACTGGTTTTACTGACATATTTCCACATTAAGTTGTAGGAACTGGGTTTATTCTGTACTTGTTTTTCCTCTAAAGACCCAGCTCTTCACTGAACACCTTTGCACTTGACAGCCCGAAAACAAACGGAAAAAAAAACAACAAAAAAACCCTCTCACCTCCCACACAGCCTCCTACTGGCATTAATGTCCTATAACACTTGAACTTGTTCTATGGCACTTATCAAGATTGTTTTCTCCTGACTAGATCCTTGTTTGTGTTGTATCTGCTCTCAGGTGTACGTCACTTTGGATAAAAGCATCTGCTAAATGAAAATGTAGAATTGTAAAAGTATATTTTTCTGTACATACATTTCAATATTCCTGATTCCTATAAATATGGAAATAAGTGAGTGATTAAGACATCAAGAAATAAATACAGATGGGTGGTAAATGTGAAATAAATGATTCATAAATAAAGTTTATTAAACAGCTATTGCACAAGAATAGAAAGTATTTTTACTTGTTTATAGCCTACATTGCAATAATCTGTTCAGTAGGTCACTGAGCTCATTATTAAATGCAGCCTGAACATCGCGTACATTCAGTTAGCAGCTGGACACAAACTCCTCAGACTCGATACATAAAGTTGCCCTCTGCGTCAAAGAAATCTTTCCCTACTTGCATTAGAGGAGAGGGCTTTTCCATGTCCATAAACTCTTCAAGCTCCTCCTCTGTCAGCACCTGTCCATCCCAGCCCTCTTCATCATCTTCATCATCTTCATCCTCCTCATCCTCGTCTGTCAGAGTGGTGTTAGTAGCTCTGGTGTCTTCTGCTAATCTTGTCGCTGCGACAGCTTGACTAATACCAGCAGCAAGCTGGGTGGGCACAACAGTAGCAGGGACGGGACTCTTTGCTGAAGATCCTGAGCCTTCACCTCGAATCATCCGAGTCTGCTCAGCCACTGGGACCAAAGCCCCTTCTGTACTTCCAGATGGCAGAATGGCTGGTGTGCGGCTCCCAGGCAGCTTCAGCTTGTCCTGCTGTGTCCCAGCACCTGAAGGCAGCACCTGCTGACTGAGTTCAGCCATTACGATATTATTCTGCTTGGCTTTCCTCTCAGGAGAGGGGACGAACTTGCTCCTGAGGACTCTCAGGATGACATCAGGGGTGACAGAGAAACCTTCAGCTAGACGTTGCACTGTCCACTCCTCTGGTTGCTCTTGCTTTAGATATCTGAAAACAGGGCAGTATTAGATATGTTGAGTTTCATACGCTGGAAATTAAACTTTTAATGTTTTTTTTTGTGGTTGGTAGAGGTGTAGACTTAAAGCTGTGAAGACATAAAATGCTTCTGTCATCTCACAACTAAATGACTTAGCTTTATAAGCCAGTCAGAATTTTACGGAGCTGCAACAATTCAGCTGAGGAACCAACAGTATTCTGACTCCTTCACTGCTACCCTGCAGTCTGCCTGGTTTATCTACTTATGTTTCAGTTATGAGCAAAAAACATAAATCTTCTGCTGTTGGCACTGCATTTTATTACAGCTAACTTGCCAGTAAAATGGTTCTCAAATGTCTATTTTTGTCAGACAGCAGAACAAAACAGTAAAATGCAGCCCATTAAGGCTACATGTTACCAAGCAGTCAATTCAGAGCCATTTGAAATGTGCCGCTCTGCACTGCTAAACTACAAACTCACCACACAAGTTAAAAACAACAACTGTACTTTGAATTCTACAGAGCCCTGGAAGGAGGCTACATTTACAGCTACATGTGAGGTGTGCCAGGATTGGTGTCACTAAAGATATATTTCAAACCCAAACTACAAACTTCCAGTTTTCCCCTTGAGACGATCAACCAGCACGTCTACAAAGAGATTCTGCGCCGTTTGCTTCGTTCAGTACGCGAGAAGAGGTGAGAGTTGTGGCAGGACAAGTCGTGGCTGCTTCACCATGACAACACGCCTGCTCACAATGTCCTGAGCATCCGACAGTTCCTGGCTGAGAAGAACATCGCTGTGCTGGAGGAACCTCCCTACTCACCCCACCTGGCTCCGTGGGATTTTTTCTCTTCCCCAAGCTCAAGGGGGTCATCAAGGGGACCCATTTTGAAGACGTGGACAACATCAAGATGGCTGTGACGACAGAGCTGCAGAGGATCCCAGAAGAATCCTTCCAGGAGTGCATGGCGGCGTGGCAGAGACTCCAGGGGGATTACGTCGAAGGGGAAAACTTGGAGTTTGGATTTGAAATATATCTTTTGTCACACCAGTCCTGGAACTGTTCTGACACACCTTGTACACTAAAAACAAGTAAAATGAACTTTTTTTGCAGAATTTTTAGCTAAAAATTGAAAGATGCTTTCTGAGGACATATGAGACTTTTCATCAATATGCTGAAAATGTGCACAATATGGGACATTTAATGATTATTTAAGTGAATAGCACTTTGTTTACAGTCATAATCAGTTTTATTGCAAAGTAGGTTTGACCATACAAAGAATATGACTCAGTGTGTAGCAGTAAATACTAACATGTAGAATATTTTAATAGAAATGGTTAAAAAAAGAAAGTGTAGAAAGACAGTAGACAGTAAATGATACACAGCAAGTGTAGCAAACCAAAGGAATGACAACAAACGTAATAAAAAGTACCAGAAAAATTTCCAGTGTGAAGGATTGTGCAACTTAATTGTCTGAGAATGTGCACGATGACACAGGATGTAATGTTATGTGATGTTATTCCCTCACCTGATCTGCTCAATAGCATCCCAGGTTAACATCCTCTGTGGAGCTCCTGGTGGAGTCATCTGTCTCCTCAGTATGTGAAACTTGACAGTCTTTTGCCTTTTCCTGCCTTGACTGAAACACATGAGGGGATGCTCTAGTTCATACACTTTTACATCAGATTATTTTTCTTTTTACACTGGAATAGTGTGAGTTCTGTTGAATCTTACTCGACCAGGGCCTGGAACTTGTCCTCCACATCCTCCAGGTCCAGTTCTCCATCAGCCACCTCCTTGCTGTGTCTGTTTCTGTCTCGGTTCACATGGCTCTGTCCCGGCCATGCTTTGTTCGCACCTCTGCTTGCAAATCGACAGCTGTTGACGGGAACCGAGGGGGTCGCTGACAGAGCCCCGAGCCTGGACAGGAGGGAGAGCAGAGACCGAGCCATGCTTGTTCTCCTCTTTGAATCGTCAGCTCGTAAAGCCGAGGAGGAGGAGGAGGAGGCTCGGTCTACTGTACCCGAACAAACAGAACTCGCTGTAATGCTAACTAATTTCGTTGTACTTAGCTGATAACAGAAGTGAGACCTTGACCAAATCAAAATGCTACCTCTACATCCATGCTGCAAACCTGTGAAACACTTCCGCAAACAGCAGCGAGGCTGCGCGGTGCTGCCAACTAGCGGCGCGGAGGAGAACTAACAGGTTCGCTTATGAGTAAATGACACACGTATTGGGACTTTGAGCGCCTACTAGCGCCACTTTAATTCCTGGAAATATAATAAACAGACCAACCAAGATAGACTAAATGGCGACACCTGCCGGGGCTCTAGGACTCCGCACCCTAGCCTGTCGCCGTGTCACGCAGCTGCGCACCTCCTCCCAGGCCCCGTTGTTTCATTTGCGCCATTTTGTCCGCTCACTTTGTTGATTGGGCTTTAGCGAGCTGTACTGGAGCCAATCAGAGGGAAACCGGACAGCGAAGCTACGGTAAGGGAGCCCCGATTGAAGGCATTGGTAGTTGTCAGCACGGATTGGTTTGTCATGGACCAACCAAATTACTAACCCTGCTAAATGCAAAAAACTCAAATTGCAGTTACATGTCGACCGCTGTGTCCCAGACTTGTAGGACTGCGAGTAGCTTGTTGTTTTCAATGTTGGCTGCCGTGAGGAAACATGATCTCCGCCGAGCGACAAGCCTCAGCTAACGTTAGCTAGTTAGCTGAAAAAATTCAATCTCAAACAAAGGGACCGTGGATAATACCGCCCTCCGTCCACCAGCAAACGTTGCCCAGCAAATGATCATCACCTGTAATACACAACAACGCACCCAAAGACCGACGTTCGCAGTTTTACCACATTACAATCATCCGTATGTTTTCTAGCATTTGCCACGCTTTTTAGCTAGCTCACTGGCGCTAGCTTGTTAGCTCACAGACGAGTCTGTCCCGTTGACTAAATGCCATGTTTAAGCAGTCCAGCCGCTGACCTAGCTTTATTCTCTAATGTGAGTCAACATATCACCTCTAAGGGTTAGAAATAACATTTGAAACTGGATAAGTTAGCGCTAAAATGTGAAATCGAAAGAACCACTCAAAGGCCTTATTTAAATAACGATAACAGTGAACACAGAACATGCAGGCAGTGGTTAAAATGACAAACACAATTTATTATGAATCGTAGACATGGCTGTGGACTGCATCTAAAAAGCATTTTTAATGGAAACACATCTAATGTAAGATGATACTGTATGTGTCTTTGTGATAGTAACGAGCCATGGAGCAGTACACTACTGCCACCACTACCACTGGGGAGCAGATTGTTGTGCAGACTGCCAATGGACAGATCCAACAGCAGGTGAGCTCACTCTGATTAATTATATTTTGACAAGGAAAAGTTTTCCCTCCTATCACCAATTAAACATTATGCAATAAGATCACAGGTTGCAGGCACCCACAATCAAAAAGCTCAGGGGATTCCAGCTCCACCACACTGAGACTTCCTTTTATTCTGAGACTGTGTTGTCCTGCCTTGCCTGCAGACGCAGGGCACAGTGACGGCTGTGCAGCTGCAAACAGAGGCGCCAGTGGTGACGGCCTCAGGCCAGCAGGTGCAGACACTCCAGGTAGTGGTGTCACCGCCGCCCTGTGTCAGTGCCATGACAATTTTACAGCCTACCAGTTTGCATGCCATATCCAGGGCTGTTTTTCATGACCCATCTGTGCTGTTTGGTTCATCATTTCCCCCCCAGCATGTCTCGCAACTGCCTGAACTGCATGTTCGTGAGCACAGTGTGTCAGCCTCTGGTTTTTGCTTGTGCTCTCATGGCTGTCAAAAGACTGCTGTTTTGTCTAAGTTCTGTTTGTCTTGTGTTTTTTTTTTTTTTGGTTTGTTTTATTTTTTACAAGTTTGGAAAGTCAAATATTTTTTCTTCAGAATGATACTTGTTGGAAATGTGACTTTTGTGGCTGTATTTTCAGTTAGCAGAAGAATCTGTGAGGTTCAGCTTTGACCAGCATGGACCGGCAACCATTGCTGGTTGTCTCTGCTCATCATTTAGCTGTTTCCTATTATCTTGCAATAAAATGGCAGGAGGTTTCTTCCCTGGCATTTTTCTCTACAGCTACTTCCACGGGCTTTCAGTTGTCCACTGTGGTCACTTTGTGGATTCAAGTTAAATCATCAAGTTGCATATGTGAATGCAAATTGATTTGATGGTAGCAGCTTTTCTAATTTTGTGCTTTAAGCAAATGTACCCTCTTGGTGCATCTGTGGCTTTCCTGTAAATACAAAACCTGAATTCTGAATACAAAGGTTTTGTATTTTGCGACTGTAGCTGAACTTCATGGGAAAAAAACCAACAAACAGTTGAAAATGTACTGTACATACTGGCTTCATGTTGGGTTCACTATGTCACCAGATGGTCACATAGCTGCACATTCTGAAACAGAAAGGACGACAACAAAGCATCAAATACTTAACCACAATGTGTCATCCTCAGTGTTTCTGATTTGATGCCACTTGCCTGGAGCCCAACAAGCCACCTGTAAGAGACAGTGAGATAAAACATGTCAGTGCTTTTGTAACCACTGTCTGTGTTTCTCATTAGGTCCAGGGACAACCACTGATGGTTCAGGTGAGCGGTGGACAGCTCATCACATCATCAGGGCAACCCATTATGGTGCAGGCCATGTCAGGGGGTCAGGGTCAGACCATAATGCAGGTCCCTGTATCTGGAGCTCAAGGACTACAGCAGGTAAGGGGGGAGGCTTGGTTCCTAGATTAAGATCTATATTTAGACTTTACCACATTACTATGTACAGCACCACCATTTTCTCTAGAATAATATTATCAATATAGTTTATTTGCTGTATTACTAATGTAGAATTATATTTGAAGGATATATTACTACTATAGAACTAGATCTAAAGGAAGGGTGTGCAATATGATAGTCTGGTAAGCCCTTTACACCTGAGCTTTAGTAACTCCTGCACATGTTGCTGTTGAAAAATGCTTTGAAATTGTTTACTAATGTGATCATATGTTGATGACTGTATTGTAAGGTGTACATATTTTTTTATTTTTTCTGATTTAAAGGTTCATATAAGTATGTTTTTGTTACTGTTCATTTTTTTTGGAACATTGTGAAATAATCTACTGTCCATACATAAAAACCTACTGTTGGTGTTTTTGCCTGTAGATCCAGCTGGTGCAGCCCGGTCAGATCCAGTTGCAAGGCGGTCAGACTCTCCAGCTCCAGGGCCAGCAGGGCCAGCCCCAACAGATCATCATCCAGCAGCCCCAGACAGCAATCACCGCTGGACAGAACCAGGTGTCAGATTTTGACAAGCCGAGTAGCAAATCTATTTCTTCAAATTCGTCAACATTCAGTATGATTATACAACTTATTTGTGGTATAGTAGAAGGAGGAAATGTTTGGTGATCTCGTAATTTAGTTCCGATTTTGGTGTCCTGATTTGATACAGAAATTATTTGAAGTTTATTTTTATTTAAATGTTAATGCTGGAGATCAGTTTCTCTGCAGTAGCATTAGCACTGGAGGAAGCCATGTTGTTCAAAATGCTGTATTGGCTCAGATGTTCTGAAACTAAACGGACTATGTAGAATAAGTTTGATTCACCAGAACCTATCATTTCCGCAGTGCGTTTAAAGCAGCCTTCTTCTCCCCTTCCACTATCTCCGTTTTTCCAAAATCCCCTTTTGCTATGGAAAAAAAAACCCAACAACCTCAGAGCTTGCAATGTCTGTGCTGAAAATGGCAAGCTTTGATGATTTGGATGGTGCAATATGGCAAGCCTGCTTGGTTCTTTCTTAATTCCTACCATTTTTGTGACATTGCTTTCCTCAGTGCAAATGTTTGACCAAAACCAATTCCCCACGCTGCTATTTTGCAGTGGCACCATTGTTACATCCTGGGTTTACCCAAGATGAATATTATTGATTTAAAGAAACACAAAGAAGATGGTATTTGTTTTTTTTTTTTCCCCCCTTATAGCAAAATCATAAAGGGTGCAGCCAGACCGGTCTCCAGCACTGGCACAGCACTGTGTCTGGTCATACAAGGCTAATATTAATTGATGAGTTCTTTTCCTCACTCTACCACAGTTGGTTTAAGTTTAGTCCTGCAATGCAAAATATTAAGGCGTTAATTTCAAAATGCACCCAAACATTTTCCTTGTTTGAAGATGAACTAGGCTGTAGTTGGAGGAAACATTTCAGCATGTGTGTGCTCTTCTGTCAATGTAGTACAACTATTACAGAAATAGACTTTTGGCTTTTATGAATTCACTCAGAATCGTAGCTGATAAGAAACAGCATTTTTATGTAAATATTTTTCCTTTTCTTTTTTTTACCCATCTATACCAAAGGGGCAGCAGATCAGTGTGCAGGGCCAACAGGTAGCACAAACAGCTGACGGGCAGACCATCGTCTACCAGCCTGTTAATGCAGATGGTACCGTGCTGCAGCAGGGTAAAATCAGTTTTCTTCTACCTTTTTGTGTTTGCCTTCGTCTTTGTAAACTTCATAAACGGGGGCATTGTTAAGTTGTCATTTTGAATAAGCTCTGTGATGATTATCTGTTTGCAGGAATGATCACAATTCCAGCTGCCAGCTTGGCAGGTGCCCAGATTGTACAAGCAGGGGGTGCCAACACCAACACCACCAACAGCGGCCAAGGCACTGTGACCGTCACCCTGCCCGTCTCCGGCAACATGGTCAATGCAGGTGGAATGGTCATGGTAAGACCCTGTGCAGAGGTACCCAGCATCTTATTACCTTTTTTTTTTAAATGTAGACTCACACAAGGGTGTGCGTTGTGGTGAAGATCACAGAACCTTTGACATCACCAAATATGGTTATTCATTCTTTTTCTAACATTTTCAGTCACTCATTGATGTGCACAGTTATCCTGTTCGAAAGTCTGACTTTAATGAGAGCTGAGTTTATTCAACCCATACAATGAATACAAGTGTGTTTATTTAACCGTGTTCAGGACTTTTGGGGTCTGTGGGACCCCAGGCCATTTGGTTTAGGTGACAGGTATTGTTTTCTAATGTTTGAAGATTATTTTTATATATATAAAAAGAGGGACATTTGTCGTGCATTTGGAACCAAAAATACATCAACTTCTCAGAAAATGTATGTAACATAGTATAAAAGTCTATAATGAATACCAACAAAGATTTTACTCATATTCTTTCTTGGGGTCCAGTGGATCCTGAAAGACCTTCTACGTATGGCAACATGAATAGGGTTACAGTCCTTGCATACCAGTGGTCCATTAGTACAGGTGTTGTCTTATTTTGTTGGATAAGACCTTTTCCCAGGTATCATATGTGTCACATGGAAGTATTTTATCAATGTGTATTTACTATTTGTAAACTTTATGCGAATAGCATAAATGCTAAAAACACATTAAATTGGATGCCTTACGTCAGCCAAAGACCACTCATGTAAATAGACCTAAACTTAATGAGTCCAGTGTTGTTTGTCAATACACAATAATATATTATTCATAGGACCAATTCTGTAATCATACAACTGTGTTGATGACATGAATTGGCAAAAGTTGTTAACATTCAAATCTATGGCAAGATCTGTTAACATTTAATAGCTTAGCTTGGCTGGCTACAATTACAATTGGATATAGTCAATGTAATATTGAGCTGTGAGTATGACATATCTGTATTTCATTTTTGACTGGTCAAAAAAAATTGTTGGAGGCTGGGATAGGCTCCAGCCCCCCTCAACCCCAGTGAGGATTAAACAGTGTATAGATAATGGATGGATGGGGAAAAAAAATGTTGCAGATATTGCATGCGATATTAGCACTAGTTTGAACTGTTGTGCATGATGCTGCTCATGCAAGGCTTCCCATTAGATATTGGTGTTGTAAAAGTAAGTGAAAGGGTTGTTGGTGGGTATGATTGTTAGAAAATCCCATGAAGTGCTAATCAGCAGGGAATTTGAAGAAGTTTGTTCAGTAGACTTGTGGTTGAAATTTATCAGAATTAATTGTTCCGACATGGCAGTTAAATGATTTGTCACACATGGTTACAGTTGCAGTGCCGCAGTATGTTTGAAAATCAAGCCGCCTCTGCATCCCGCTTGGCGTAGGGTGTGACGTAAATACAGATATGTGCAACGTCATTCTGCCTAGTGAAAACTGACTCGGCAGGGTTCCAGTTCAAAATATCTACACGTCAGTTTGACTAGTTGTAACTCAATTCTTAACTGATGATATCTTAAAAGGTGAATGTAGGTGTCTTGAACTGAGGGGGATTAAAAATCACTTGAATTAGAATTATGACTGGCCTGATTTAAATGATAGTAATCCAAAATAAATTACAGCAAATCATAATTCAGCTGCAGATATGTGAATGTGAATTGCAGAATGTGAATTGCATTGTGCATGAATGATAAATGTGATGACAAGAATGATTTGGTCACTGTCGGAAATGTGTTTACTAAGAACAATTGAATTTCGGATGTTTGCAATACATATCCAGTCTAGCTATTAAATGTTAAAACAGGTGGCCATACCAATCTGTCTGATCTCTGAACAATGTGTATACAGAAGGTTTTACTAGTCCATGAAATCTGGTGATGCCATGCAATTTCCAGGTAGCCGCCACCTTGTATCTGCGTGTAGTGAAGTCTAAGTAGCTAGAATGACTGAGAACATCTGCGTAGGGGTACGAGGCCTCTAACATGGTTTTTCTTATTAATACTGACTTAACCATTTGCATTCTAACTGTTTTTGTGTGCCAGTAATTTCTGTTACATGCTTTCCGTGCCACAGATTCTAAGCAGTTTGTGCCTGTTTGTGTTTCCTCTGTGTATCAGATGGTCCCTGGAGGTGGTGGAGTTCCCACAATGCAGCGTATCCCCCTGCCAGGGGCTGAAATGCTTGAGGAGGAGCCTCTGTACGTAAATGCCAAACAGTACCATCGCATCCTGAAGCGAAGACAGGCCCGGGCCAAGCTGGAGGCTGAGGGGAAGATCCCCAAAGAAAGGAGGGTATGGCATATTTGATATAATCGTAGACCACACAGGCGTATAATTTACCTGCACATGTAAACAAATACTATGAGTACTGCCATTGTGGTTGATAGCCAGGGAAACCCCTAGCCCACCAATTTAGTGATTGAAATAATTAAGTTTGGATTTTAGATGGCACAAACAGACTTTTAGTCTTTTAACATTATTTGAGGGGGGAAAAAAAAAAGCACATTTAGTAGACAGAAGAACTTTCTTTAACTTTATACACCCTGGAGTATCCAAGTTCCAATGCACCTTCTGGCACTCCCTCCTGTAAATAATGTCTTTTTGACTTCCAAATGTATTTTCTTTACCAACTACTTGTTGTTTTTTCTTCCATTTCGTTGTTGTCGTCATCTGTATATCACTATGTGTAGAAGGTGCTGGCTGGTTTGGTGAAAGCCAAACTGATGAATTGAAAACTGCATAGAGCCACAGACTGAGGTGTTAAGTGTCAATGATGCACATGCACAATCCTTTTACATTACAAGAAGTTATTTCATTTAAGGCTCATGTTAAGATACTAGTGATACTACGAAAGGAAGTGACAATGTAATAAAATTGCAAAAAAGAAATATAGTGGGTGAGGAGAGTTTTACAGCACGAAACAGCAGAGACTATGCATGATGGTGGACTAATTCCTTCGCTTTTCGTCTAGCAGAAATATTTGCACGAGTCTCGTCATCGTCATGCTATGCAGCGCAAGCGAGGAGATGGAGGACGTTTCTTTTCTCCTAAGGATAAGGAGGAAATGGCGCTGGCCTTGGCACAGGTAAGAAACTGTCTGTAGAATAAAAAATCTTAAACACTTAAAAGAAGAAAACTTTGTAGTATTTTTAAAAATTTGTATGTTGTTGGAATAGGTGAGATCTTATGCGAGCATGAAACTCCTTCTAATTTATTGTTATGGCTTCACTGATCCCTTTTCCCCTCATTCTTCAGCAGCAGCAGGACGCAGCCCAGGCGGCAGCAGATGAGACAGTGGCTCAGATGATCCGAGTCTCGTAGCGCTGTCGCCGGCATCATCACTTCTGTCTGAACTCTACCCCACCTGAGACTCTTCATCCCAGCTAACCAGCCCACAGCTTTCTCCTTTCAATTGTTCTTCCTCCGGTCCCACCATTACACACCAAACTGCACCGCTGCCACTGGACTTTTTCTGTTATCTCTTTACTCCTACACTGGTCTTCCAGGGAGCTGGCCCTGTGGACTGTTCATATCTTCTTCATCCAAGTGGAGGACATTGTCATGCTCAGCTCTTCTGGTTGAGCACTTAGGACCAGCTTTTTATTTTCATGAGGAACTGTTTGGACAATGAAACCTGAATTTCAGAGTAACCAGGGCCAGTCACACAGAGGAATTGACAGGGATGAAGCCATACTCTGTCAGACCTTGGTCTGTTAAAAATATGAATTTTTTTCACCAGTGGGGACTTTTTGCTTTTAATATTTTTTTGTAAATGGTACCTTTTTTTTTCCAGAGACACTCGTTGAGCTTTCATGCTACACTGCTGTTGTGTATCTTTTATGTGGTGCTGTTGCTTTGAAATTTAGTTTTTTTTTTTTCAACCTAAGTGACACGGGAGTGAACTCAGCATCTTAAGTTCAACCTGCATCCACTGAGCAAAAACCGAAATGTGATGATAATGTGAAGATATTGTACAGAAAGTCTTTTCTTCCCCAGTGCGTTTGGATATACTTGCTGATTTTCCCAGTTCTGTGGACATATTTTATACAGTTTGTAGTACGGACTTAGTGTTTGTAGAAAAACATTAGTTCAGTGTTGCATCACATTACACACACTATCTGTGTAATCAGTCCATCTAAGTGTTTGGTTTTTTCATTGTAGATAACTGATTTTTTTTTGTACCCATCAGATGTAGTCCTGCAATGTTTATTATTTTTTTTTTTTTTATAATGAAAAAGGTTGGACGTTGCATTCATGAAACCTATGTCAATTAAATTTTATTAAGTGACTCAACGTTATTTGTGGTCACTTTATTTTTTTTAAAATTTACTCCAGGTTTTGTTCAGTGTTCTTCAAAAAGTTCTCAGCCTCATCAGAAAACACCACGGGAGAAAGATTGCGGTATTTTTCAAATCTCCTTTAACTTTAGTGCACTTGGTCCACCAATGTTCAAGCTTCACTATCCCTTGAAGGAGGTTACATCTTGTGCCTCCACTTCTTCTTGGTGAGGCAGAGAGCTTTTTGAATTATGGTTTGAATCAAAGTTTAAGGTGGCTCTTGCAAATGGTCTTATTGTTTTAGGGCTGAAATTTGTCATTGTGACTTATCATGTTCAGATTTTTCTCCCAGTAGTACCAAAAAAAAAACTCCATCATGCAAAAGCCCAGCATTCCAAATTTAATATGGATTTTTAGTAGTAACAAGCATTGTGTAAAATAGCACTTCAACTGCACCGTATTTTATAAATTGATCACTTTGCATATTCTGCTAAGCAACGATAGCTGCCAATTTAATGAGAAGTAAAAAGTACAATTAATACCTTTCCCTGAACAGGACCTCTTGGGTTACACAGCGTGATTAGTACGCTCAGCCAATGAGAGGCTGTAGATTTTGTACAGTAAGCCGCGATCAGCCAATCAGAGCGCAGGAGGCGGGACTAGCGCTCTACCTCAGAGGACGGTTAATCCAAGACGATGGAAACTGAACATCTACGCTGCGCCAGCTGACAGTAACGCAAGTAAATACCGCACGTACTCTCCGCAGGGGTAACGAGTAACGACCCTGAGCCCGTTACTTCTCGGTTTCCCTCTCCTACCGGCGCGGACTGGTGATCACCGCCTACACACAGCCCACTGCTTACGGTGACAGGCTCAACAAACCGCCCCCCTCACCGTCCCCTCTCGGAGATGTTGCTGTCTGTGGCTGACAGCAGACCTGCGGGACCGAAACAACTGTTTGTGTTGCTCTTTTAAGAAAGTAAAGAAGCAGGGAAAGCAGGTATTTTTCTGTCGATGCGAGCTACTTTATACACTCTTCGTGCTCCGGCGTCCTCATTTTGTTTTTTGTTGTTGTAAGCTAGCCGAGAGAGCGCGAGACGGCCGAACGTTAGCTCGGAACTCAATTACCGGCGTTTTCCTTTTTTTCCTCCTCTCCTCTCCGGTGACAGCACCGCTTCGGACGCAATGACAGACTCGGTGGTGGACAGCAAGACGGAGGTGAAACAAGCCACGAAATATGTGAAGGAGACGGAAAACGTCGCGGAGAAATACTCTGCGTTGACCGTCAGCAAGAACAGCAGCGATGTGAACATGAACGTGGGGGAGATGCCGTCCGCAGCGTTCACCGCAGTGCCCACACTGAAATCCGTCAAGAAGGTAAGAAACGTGATGCTCGCCATCAGTCACTGCCATTGGGTGAAAGAGGCTGTGTTGCGCTGCAGGCAGGCACATGTGAGCAGGACACATTCACGTTGCAAATGCACTGCAGTCAAGTACTAGTGTACAGCAAAGGCTCTGCAATGTGATGATGATGTGTACATTCAATCAGGCAATATCATCATTTCTAAGCACTCCTAAATGAGGGATCCCTCCTTCCCAAGCTGGAATCATTTCACCTAGCTTTGCTCCACTGTCTCACATCAGATAGTGTCTAATCATAGCTTTTACTATGTTATTACTGAGGGAACAGCATATAATTTTCACTTTCATCAAGGCTGGATTATTGTTGAGATCTACCTGACTGTAGCCTTCCTGTTTGTTTAACTCACAATCTCTACATCATGCCAACATCCTGTAGGCAGGAAACACCTAAAAGCCACGTTGAGCTCTTAAATCTCTGATGTAAGGCCTCAGCAAAGTAGAGAAATACACGGGCTAATATACCTGAGCTTAGACAGGGGGTCTGTATGGTAAGTATGAGGTAGTTACCGAAATGCAGGCTTCATGTTGTAAAAAATTTCACTCCACCCTACCAGAATTAATATTTTAAGGTGTAGTAGCATAAAAATTAAACTGCATTTTCTGTGGCTACAATCTAATCACGCTGATATTTAGTCAGTACATCCTCTGCTGGCTTGAAGCTGTTCAGCTGTGCATGTGTGGGCATCGTCTCTGTTAGTAATGCATGATAAATATGTATTGGCAGCACAAGATGCACCTGTGAGAAAAGGCCTTGGATTTCTTGGCTGTTATTCAACAGCACAAAGCAAAAGAACATATTACGAATCCATCACTGTGTGTAACACCTGGCTACAGGCACAAGAGTCATCCTTTTCAGATGTTGAAAAGAAAACTTTGTGGACTTTTTTGTGGTATCATGGTACACACTGTCCCACAGGTGTGATGATTACACCCTCTTTTGTAAGGACGTAGCATTGTTAGCTTTGGCATCCTGACTGAGACATTTTCTATCTCTCAAGGTGACCTTTGACACCTGTGCTTCTTACTAGTGCGCTTTCATATTGTGGTGATTTTTAGAGCAAGAGCTGGATCCATACAGCAGTTAACACCAATATTAGCTTTCCATCAATTAATATTATTAAGCATATGTATTTCAGAAGATATCCAAGTTAAGATAGATATCACTACAGATGTTTAACAAGCTATGATTACTGTATCTTTGATCCTTAGTTCATTCATCTTAATGTATTGTAGCCAGGAATTCATATATATTCAGAATAGTTTCATTTACAATAAGTTTGCTGCAGGATCACCTTGACATCGCATGACACATTAAGTAATTATGCAGTGTTGGTGTTAGACGCAACTGATACCCGGCACTGACTGGTGTCACGTTTAAAATTTAAATGCAAAAGCTGGCCTCACATCTTGACCTTCTGCTTTTGATGTATTGGGTTGATCATGATTTTGTTGGGGTTGCTCGGTGGTTAGGATCGTTGCCTCCCAGCTAGAAGGTTGCCGATTCACATCTTGGTTAGGACACCCAGAATCTTTCTGCATGGAGTTTGCATGTTCTCCCCGTGCTGGGTTCTCTCCGGGTTCTCCGGCTTCCTCCCACAACGTCCAAAAGCATGTTGAGGTTAATTGGTGATTCTAAATTGTCCGTAGGTGTGAATGTGAGTGTGCTTGGTTGTCTGTCTCTAAGTGTAGCTCTGTGATAGACTGGTGACCTGTCCAGGGTGTCCCCTGCCTTCGCTTTAAGTCAGCTGGGATAGACTCCAGCCCCCCCACCACCCTAGTGAGGAATAAGCAGTGTATAGATAATGGATGGATGATTTTGTTGTCTTGTGCATTTTGGGATTTTTGTGCTTCTGTAATTTGGTTGTTGTTGTCACTCATTAGAGTGATAATAAGACTTCCATGTGGCACACCACCAACTAGTGTTCAGATTAAAATGAAATGTTTTCCTAATTGACTGTGACTTAATAATTGTTCCCTAAACTGACTCATCAATCAGCCACAAGAAATGCAGAATTATGTAATGTGGCAAGTGGAGAAGCTGCAAAAATCCCAGTGAAGGAAAACACTGACAGAGAAGAGCAGCAAGCAAAATATCACAAGTGGCAACTGAAAGACCACTTCGCTAAATAACTGCTAAACAATAATCTAAACTGCAGGCTAAAAAATTGTGATAGATTTGAATTAATGCCTGTGACAGTCTAAGCAAAAACTAAGATTGCAAGAATTGTAATATAGTGTTAAGTTATGTAAGGTGTGCTAATAATTCTTATTAGTCATTATCTTTTTTGTGTAGCTGAATTTCTGTTTTGGCTCCTCCAAAGTCTATTTTACACAAGTATGTTCACAGGAGGTGGACAAAACAATTTGAAAAGTAAAAATATATATTTTCCCAGCAGCGGGGCTCATAGACTTGGTAATATTAGCTCCGACCCCCTGTCTGACAAGGCAATAATGTGTGGACTGTGTGAGCCGCCTCAGGGAGTCTGATTGAAAACATATTGGATGGTAGGAATGTGAACTGCCCTTACGAAAACAAAGCTGTGTGTTATGAATAAATGTGAGAGCCCGGTGTCAAACTGAGCTGACTGCTTGCATGAAAAAAAAAAAAAGAATGAGTAAAATAACTACTGCAAATGATTGGAAAATAAAAATAGAACGAATATGAATTTCAGATAATGTCACGCATGAAAAAAATAGAGTTGGATGTTTGTTGAGCTTTGCTGAGCCTCGTCACGTAATCATCGAGAAGGTGCAGCGAGTAAACACAATCAAGGCTGCAAATTGAAATTAAATGTGTGGAGTGTGAGGGTGGGCGAGTCAGAGAACACCACCACTCTGCCTCCTCCTTCTTTAAATCCATCCAGCAGTTATGCAATACGCCCCCTGGGGACGGGACTCACTCACTGTGCGTTCGTTCCTGCATCATCATTTTTATCTGATCCCTATGGGCTGTTTTACATAGAGCCTGAATTGTGTTCATACCTTATTTTCACGATCTCATCTTGTTTGTCTGCCAACATTATGGCAGAGATTCATCAAGGTCAAATGCATTTTTTTTCCCCCCTCCTCTGGAGAGTTTAAATGAAGACGCGGAAGGAGACAGTACAGAAAACAGAACAGTAAACTCTTAGACAGTCAGTCAAACTTAAAGCCCCTCCAGCTTATGTACTATTTAAAAATCACTAGGATTGTCCTCGTGAGTAGAATGTGACCTGGAGACACTGAAAAAAATTCTATAAAGACACTGACAAGAGAATCATTTGAAAAATGTTGCAGTGAAAAAATATGACACATTTTTTCACTGTGAAACTTTAGGTCCAAACAGCTATATTTAGCAGCAGCACTGACAACAGTTTCTTTATAGTGTTTATTCAAAGTCGAAGTTTGCCGTAGTCCACACAACTAACATACTGTTTGGGGGGAAAAGTCACCATAAGCTGAGAAATATAGCACATCCATACTGACTGGTTTCATCATTTTCTAACTGTGTTCTCAGTCTCGCCCATGGGATCTCTCAGTATTTGTTATCAGTATTCTGGATTTACCTTCTTTTTTTTACAATTTTAAGAACAATGTGATAGTGGCAGACAACAT